TGATTGCCTGTTGGCTGCCGGCTCGTGTTTAGCTCCTGATATGAGAGAATCCCAGGCTGATTTTCGGTCATCTCACGAGTTCATCCGCTCCTGTGGCCTGATCTCACTCTGGCTTGATTGAATTGAATTGGTAGAAAACAGCACTGGGCCGGTCAATCAAGAGCTTGATGGCTCATATGATAACAGAGGACATCTTTGTGTCCAGAAACAGTCAGGCACACGCTGGCTAGTGCTGGTGCATGGCTTCATATTATTTTATATAATAAATTATGGTGTACTCAAAGGTGTGATGATGATTATTTTGTTAGTTATGTTTTTGTTTATGTCTGTTGTTTATATATATATATATATATATATATATATATATATATATATATATATATATATATATATATATATATATATATATATATATATATAATAAGGTTTAATATAGAAGATTAATTTAATGCTTATACTTTGCGCTAGCATATTTTAATGGTTTATTACACTTTAATATATTAACTATTAAAATAATTGTAATTTTAATTTTTTATTTTAATTATAATTTATTTTATAATTTATTTATGACAACAAAATATTTATCAGCAGTTAGCTTTTAAGGAAATTGTTAAAATTAAATATGTTGTTGTTGTTATGTTTTTGTGTGTTATCTTGCGCTAATATAAATTATGGAAGTATTACCCTGAAATTTTTTTTACAACCCTGACTTTTTATTTTGTTTGTATGATGTTTATTATTTTAAACAATTAAATGTCTTTGACACACTTAAATGTCATAATTGAAATGGTTGAAGTAGTAGTGATTATAATTGTGACAATGTTATGATGTCATTTAAAATCTAATTAATGTTGTAATAATGAAATATATTAATATGTTCATTGTCATTATAATACACTGCCTGACAAAAGTCTTGTCATTGATCTTAGTTGTTAGAGCAAAAAATAATAACTTGACTTTTAGTTGATAATTTGGAAAAGTAGCATAAGGTAGATTTTTCTGATGATCTGCATCCCAATCATCACAAACACTGCAGAAGACCTATTGGAGCCTACATGGACCCAAGATTCTCAGAGAAATCAGTGAAGTTTGGTGAGGGAAAAATCATGGTTTGGGGTTACATTCACTATGGAGGCATGCAAGAGATCTGCAGAGTGGATGGCAACATCAACAGCCTGAGGTATCAAGATATTTGTGCTGCCCATTACATTACAAACCACAGGAGAGGGCAAATTCTTCAGCAGGATAGCGCTCCTTCTCATACTTTAGCCTCCACATCAAAGTTCCTAAAAGCAAAAAAGTCAAGGTTCTTCAGGATTGGCAAGCCCAGTCACCAGACATGAACATTATTAAGCATGTCTAGAGTAGGATGGAGGAGGCATTGAATATGAATCCAAAGAATCTTGATGAACTCTGAATTTCTGCAAGAACGCTTTCTTTGCCATTTTAGATGACTTTATTAATAAGTTATTTGAGTCATTGCAGAGATGTGCGGATGTGCGAATTTTGTCTAAACAAAGTCAGACCTTACTGTCCTAATTAAATAATTAAAAATCAAGACATGATCATATTATATTTTGGTAAAATAAGTGTAATTAAGAGGCCTTTGCCTTTTATATAAGCCACTTCTGATACCAAATGATCAACTAGAAGTCAAGTTATTATTTGTTGTTCCTTAAACTTGGACAGGCCACAAGACTTGTCAGGTAGTGTACATTCATGAATTAATATAAATAGTTAGAATGTCAGATTTTATAATTTTGTCAGAATTGAAATGTCATTATGATTTCTTCAAGATTTTTCTTGTTATAGTTAATTTGTCAATAGCTCATTAATTAATGTTCATGATTTAGTGTACAAAATATTTTCAGATTTACAACAAATGTCATAAATGCAGCTCTGACTGACTGGCTCTTCTCGTCAAGCCTCATTTGAGTCAAATCTTCAGCGTTCGTCCCATCTGAGCGTCTGAATTCCCTCCGCATTAAAGCATGCAGGCCTCAGAGAGTCATAAGACTGGGCTGAGGTCTATCGAGAGCTTGTTGACTCTCTTTCCCTCCTAATCGACAGAGTTTCTCATGCCTTTATCAGTGCTCATGATACGGCTGTAAAACCGAGCTGGATGTCACAGCACGTGTTGTGTCTGATGTCATGACTTTATGGTCATCAAGTAGACTCGCCAGAAGCTTCAATAGTCCAGTACATATCACAGTTTCTCTTTTTTTCATAAATTCTGAGTTTTCAGTCGTTAATTTCATAATTCCATGTGCATTTAAGGTTTTGTTGGTTTAAACCAAGTGCAAAATGGGTAGATGTGCTGTTTGTGCATCTCTTTATCTCTTTTTTAGTTCTTTTTTAGGCCCCGTTTACACTGTCAGGTCTTGATGCCCAATTTAGATTTGTTGCCTATATCTGATTTGTTTGCCTGTCTGTTTACACGTTGTTTTAATTGTGACCCATATCCAATTCATGCGTTTACACTTGCCATATAATTTACGATGTTGCGCATGCATAAAGGCGGGTTCTAGCATCTGTGCCACACTAGCCACGATGGAAGAAATTGGCTTGTTTTTAGCTCTGCGAAATATGCGAAGTGCAGTAAAAGCAGTGCATGGTTTAGTCCAGATTTACCCCCATGCAGTTTATGTAATGGTATGGCCCTGATGTGTGTGTGTAGTTGAAGATGTAGCCTTTGCCTGTGTGCGCACTGGTGTTGGAGAGAATAAAGTTATTCTATGTGTAGCCTGCTGTGCGACAAAAAGCAAACGTTACAACACGAAGTTTGCCCAACTTTAAAATGATTTTGAGGTTGGTGGTGGGAAAGGGCCGTCATCGCAGCTTGCGCTTATGGTTTATATGCTTTATGATGTCCTCCACCATTCAGAGGAATTCGTGGGTACGAGAGAGTTCTCAGGACTGTTGGGAGCAAATTGTGGCGACTGACCACTTTCCTCCTCTGTGTTTCCTCTGATGTTGTTTACCGCGTCGGCATCTCCACACACGCTCTTCTTTCTGTCATTAAACCGCGGAGAAGCACCACATTGTCGCAAGTGTAATGATGTACAGAACAGAATGCCTTAATAAATCCGATCTGCCTGTTTACATGACAGTTGCATTTTCACATATCCGATCTATATCTGACTTATTTCCACATATGAAGGAGGCCTGAAACCGATCTCTGAATATCTGAATGCATGCTTTTTTTCATGTTTACACGGTCCTAGAACAGATCCGATTTGTGTCACATATGAGCCAAAAATCGGAATTGGGTCACATTTAACTGGCAGTGTAATCGGGGCCATGCATGTATTTGTGCTTCAACAAATACTGTAGTAGAGCTGTACGATCAATCGAAATTGCAATTAAAAATGTAGTCCCAATCCCAATTCTACCCCTTAGTTCTTCCCCTTACCTCTACCTCTCGTTTTGCGCATTCCCATGAAGGGGTAGGGGTGTCCCAATTTTCTTTAGCTTGAAGGCTAAGGGGAAGGGGTAGATAGCCCTTTAAGTGAAGATTTTTCAGGAACACACTCAACAGAATCCCAAAATAGACCAGCCACAACTTCAGGATAGTTGTACCTGGAAGTAAGGAGATCTACAAATTAGTATTTTTTTGTCATTATTATGAATTTTTTACAACATCAAACATATGTTTTAATATATTCATAACCGCGTTCATGTTTTACTGCCATGCTTAAAATAAATAAATAAATAAATAAAAAATGCTAAAATAAAAAACGCTAAAGTTTGTGTTGTTGTTTGTAATTTCCGAATTGGTTTTTGACTGTTTGATTGTACTTTCAATGACAACTTTATATACTGTAGTTTCTTTTCTAGTACTAAAATTGGAATTAAAGATTGAAAAATGAATTTAGCATTATTAATTAGTGTTTGATTGTTCAATTCAACAACAATATATTTTTATTTCACTCTTTTATTCTTTGTTTTTGTTTTGTTTTTTTGCCTTTTTTGTCCAGTAAAATGTTTGTCAGGGAAAGTAAAAATCAGAACAACTGCATAGTTTTAATCAAGGCATCCATAAATGTTGTCATTTGAATTAATGTGCAATACTTTCTCTTACGCACTTGTACACAGCACCTTATAACAATTTACAATGCAATACTTTCTCCAAACGCATTTGTACACAGTACCTTATAACCTTTATATTTATAACAAATCCGTACAATTAAACATTCAGATCTTTTTGATCAACTGCATCTCTGTTTAATGTTTATCATGTTTTTTTCATATTTATTTTGTGTTGTCACTTGTCACTTATGTACACTGGAAGCTTCTGTAGCCAAAACAATTTTCTTGTGTGTGTGAAGCACACTTGGCAATAAAACTGATTCTGCTTCTGATTAATGCTGTGAGAATATTTTTTTCGATGGTATCTTATTGATATTTTTTTCTATGGTATTAAAGTAAAAAAAAGGAAAAAAAAAAGAATTGTGCATTTATGAGAGGGCTCTTCTTTCTCTATAAAAAATAACACTCCCCCTTCCTTAAACTGCGGTAACACTACAGTTTGAGCATGTGAAATTTTGCCACACAGCACTGCGAAAGGGGTGGGATCAAACAAGATGATTAGACGTTAAAAATTGATCAATTGCTCCATATTTCAAATTTCTGAGAGGTCATGTTTTGATCTTCGATTGGTTTCACGCAATCACGTGATGTGATTACGCAGGTCAGAGTTCAGGTCAGTCAAGCTTGGACTTGTGTTTAACATGCTTGCATTTCCGGTCTGTCGCATTCACATGCATGTGAATGGAAGTCTATGTGGCGAAAAGTGCAGTGTGACTGTGACTTTACTCTAGCACTTTATTCTCTGAGCACTAACAATATGCATTGCCTCTTCTTGTTGAATCTTTAAGTGCCTTCTCAGTTTTAAGACACGTTGAACAAAAGCATCTGTCAAATGACTAATTATGAAGTTAGAAATGCTATTATTGTGACAGAACCATTGTAAATGTTAAATGTGTGTGTTTCTGTTGCAGATCATCGAGTCTCTGGGCATCATGATCTATAAGGCTCTGGATTATGGCCTGAAGGAGCACGAGGAAAGAGAACTGAGTCCTCCTCTGGAGCAACTTATCGACCTCATGACCAACATGGCGGACACAGAAACAGACTGTCCTGATGAGGGATACGAGGCCACGGAGGAGGAGGATGAGGGAGAAGAAGAGAACGCTGAAGTTTCCAATGTTCGAGGATACCGAGACATAATTTCTGTAAGCATTGACCGATTGTGAAACAAACTGTGATTTACAAAAGGTGTTAACCCAGTACAGCTTAATTCTTGTTGTTATGTTGTTAAATCGCATTTCTGTCCTTAAAATAAAATAAAATAAATCAAAAACATAAAAAATAAATAATATTAAATAAAAATATAAAAATATAAAATAAATAAATAAAAGTAAACATTAAAATAAATAAAAATAAAATGAAATATATATATATATATATATATATATATATATATATATATATATATATATATATATATATAATTTTTTTTTTAATAAAATAAAATGACCTAAAATAAAATATGAAATAAAACAAAGTAAAAACATAAAAAATAAAAAAATAGCAATGTGTAATGAATGCTATTGCAATTAATTTGCATAAATGGTGTGTCTGCATGTGTCTTGGGATGGCTGTAATTGTTATTCTCTCTACTGGTATTTATTTTAACTTCTCCCTCAGGCCCACTTTAGTAATGCATTACTCTCAAGCTCCATAAAGACCTCCAGACAGTAGCAGCACTTTTAATTTCTGTCATAGTCATCAATAAATAAAAGGAGAAGCTTTTAGCAATGTTAGCAGTCGAAAAAAGAAATATGACCACACTGTGAGTGCTACAGGTACTAGCATTAGCATGAATAAGCATCATAATCATGTGCCAACACATAACCCAAGGAATCTGTTAAAAAAGGCAAACAAACAGACCACATGCATCAAGTAGTGGTCAGTTTAGGTAACAGAACATTCTAGATTATTCTGAAGGGTCTTTCAGGACAGGTTGGATAATACAGAACCATGACTGGATAAAACGAAGTTGGATAAAACAAACCATAACATTTAATTTCTTCAATCTGGCTGGCTAAATTTATACTCCACCCGCCAAAAAACCTTTTAGATTCTCCATTTAGAAAGAAATTGATTTGAGGATAAAGTAAATGAGAACAGAAGATAATGTGCCACCTTTTTCATGACCTTCGTCTATTTGTTTAGAATGGGGAAAGTAAAAAAACAACAACTATTTCCTTGAGTAATTTCCTCTAAAATATTTTCAATTTCTTATTCTCAATTTATTTAGAGGAATCCCTTTATTTTAGTGTCCCTCTATTTATCTAAAATTAAATAATAATTTGTATTATTCTGCAATTTGCATGTTTGTTTTTTACTGACTGTTCACTTGTCATCTGTAATGTTTTCATTTATATATGTTAGGCTAATTGTCTCAATAATGTTAAGTAATGTATTTTCTAACATAAATGAAGAATAAACAATACTTGTACAGCCTTTATGAATCATAGTTCAACATTTACTAATGCATTATTAAAATCAAACGCTGTGCTTGTTAGCAGTTAATGCACCATGAGTTAGCATGAATAACAATGAACAACTGTATTTTTTATTAACTTACATGGTCACTATTTTTTTTGGTGTAAAATTCACACTATTAACTAAGACTTTTAGCTCAATAAATTACTTATTAGCTGCTCATTAATAGTCAGTAGTTGGGTTTAGCTATATTGGGTTATGATGGTAAAATAAGATCATACTTTATAAGTGGTAATAAACATTAATGGGCAGGTAATAAGCCAGTAATAAATGGTGTGGATTGTTACTTAACCGGACATCATTTACTTCCACGTTCTTTGAATATTAATGGTACGCACTGGCCCAATACCCCTATAAGTGGTTCTGTTCTCTCATCAGTTGGAATATATTAACTTTTGCATAGATTATGATAGACATTTTTATTTTTTCCTATGATTACTGACATATGCAGGAACCAACAAAATTAATTACAGCAACCTAGACCACACTGAACCTAAAAGGTACACTTTCAAATTTGAGTTTACAAAAAAAAAAACCTTTTTTGAGGGGTTTATGATAACACAGACAACATATGCAATTATTTTAATCAACAGTGTTTTATAAAACAATTCAGAGGGCTTTCTTTAAAATTATACCAAACATTTGGATTTACATCTCTGCATGTGGATTTGGGAAGCTTTTGAATTTGGGTTGGTAAAATCTAGGTGAAAAGCCCAAAATAGCACTCGACTTTCAGAGGTTAAACTAAATTGTTACCAAGAACAGTAACAAAAAGGTATCATAAATGTATTGTTCATTGTTTGTTCATACTAAGTACATTAACCGTAACTGTTAAGTTGTTGCAAAAAAAGTAAAAATTTGTTTTAACTCATTTTAAATAAATAGTTTAAACAAGTAGCAAGCAGCAAAAGTCATGTTTTGAGTGTATGAATAATTTCCGGCTTGACCGTATTTTTTTAAATTTGTATTAATGCTTTATTTATCTATTTATTTATTTTTACTTTTCTTGGAATCTTATATGGCAATAACAAATCCCAGTGTTGGGCCAACACTAGCTGTATATTCCCTCTTTATCTCCCTCCTATCAGGTCTTGCAAGTTGCATTCACTTTCACCAGTCTGTAATCTCGTCTAGCATGATTTCTCAGCAAAACACGTCACAGGGACTGAATCTGCCATCAAACATTCCTAAAGAGGGCAGAGCTCAGGGAAGGTGTGGAGAAAAATGTCATTAAGCTGGTTGCTCAGCGTAATTGTGCGGTTAAAAGGCATGTCATGCTCAAACAATTATACCTGGGACTGAGTTTTGAACAGGCTCGTGTTATTGACCCGCCAGGCATGCAAACTTTGGGTTTGGCTCTTAGCTATGTACCAAAATATAATGTGTATAAAACGGCAGGATTAACTGATCAGACAGATTTGGTCAATGATTTTCTTAGAGATGCAACGATTACCTTATTAGACTGAGGTTGAAGAAATCTACATTGACCTTAAAATACACTCCTGTCCTCTGGAACGCAATTGACTATTTTAGGAAAGAGACATCTTGACAAACACAGCAATTACAAAAGATTTGAAGCCGTACTGTAAACAATTTGCTTGTAAATGTGGCAGTGCAGTGGAATGTATTTATGTGTGAATTGTATTTATGGTAAGATTTAAGTGAATAATTGTTTAAATTGGAAATTAAATCTTATCTGTGATTTGTTTGTTTGGTCTTAAATCAAAAGGACAATCTTTAATATCCTATAAGCTATAAGTTTATTAAGGTATAATAAACTATAAGACAGTGTAGTACAACATTTTAAACGTTAAATAATGTAAAATAAGTAATCAATAATTCACAGCTAATAAAGTTTGATTAAGTAAAGTTAATAAAGTTCTATTAAGTAATCCAATATTTTAGATAATAAACAATATAATAATATATAGATCTAAATTATAAATTGAAATAAATACATGAGATTCATGTCAATAATCCAAAATGTCCTTAAAATAAAACAATTGGATAGAATAAATACAAATTATATTAAAATAAATCATAAAAACAACCATTCAGATGGCTTTTAGATTTTAGCATGGTGGTCATCGGAATCTGAATGATAGAAAAGTGTTTCTAACTAGTCAAAAACAAACAAGCAAACAAACAAACAAACAACAGCATAAAAATTGCAAAACCATCTAATAAAAAAAAAAAATTATTATAAGAGTAGCAGACATGAAGTGGTCCAAAGGTGTTTAATTAATCCAAGTGTTGTATGTCTATTTATCCTTAATTAATAGCCTGTTTATTAAAAAATGATGTAAAATTTGAAAAAAGTTACATTTTTATCAGCCATAATATAGACATTTTCTGCATTTGTAATGTGTGTCTTTTTGTATGAACAACATTCTTAAAATGCATTGCTCAATTTCAGAGTGTCACTCAAATTCAGCTTAGGACTATACACTATACACTTTCCCTACATTTTAATGTCTCTGTAATTTAATAGTCTCATTCTCTGTTCTTCTTCTTCTTCTTCTTCTTCTTCTTCTTCTTCTTCTTCCTCTTCTTCTTCTTTTATTGCTTTATTAGGTACATCTTAGGTCAGACTGAAAATAACACTTTAATTACAATATATATAGTATCAATACATATTGATGTTCATAACATGTCATAAAAATCATGCACTGATACAATTTACCAAACAAGAAATTATCAGGAACACATAATTATAGCCTTATTCTCCCAAAACTGGGATTTACAAACTTTTGGGGTTTGTGAGTTGATGAAAAGCCAATAATTAACTAAAGGGTTCATAATGTGCCCTATTGTGATGTAAAATAAGTATCAGGAGTCTCCTAGATGTGTCTGTGAAGTTTCCCACAGATCATTTATTTATTATACCAGGCTGTAATTGCTCATTTTTGTGGGTCTCTTTTAATGAAAATAAGCTGCTACCCCCCCCCCCCACTATCCAGAAGAAGGCGGAGTCATAAGAGCTTGTTTCTTGATTAATACTCCAATAACACTAAGTCCAACATTTTCATGTGTTTTCAAGCCTTGTCAGTTTAGACATTTTTTTGGAGTACAGAGGCATAAATGCTCACAAAATAATATGCTTGAAATACTTATTTTTAAATAAATATATATTTAAATAATAAATAAAAATTGATAGCACTTTAGTTTAGGACACTTGACTGGCCTGCCTGCAGTCCCGATCTGTCTCCAGTAGAGAATAGAGAACATCTTTTAAGTGTTGCAAGAACCAAAATTGGCAATTTGGCATACATATTTACTTTGGAAAAAAACAATAAAATTCCTGAGGAACACATTAAATAATATTTGTTGTATTGTCTGCAATGAAGTACAATGTTTCTATACTGTCACAACTTTTTCTGATTTTTTTGTGTGTGTGTGTGTACTTTATGACTACTAACAAACAGTTAATAATAATAATCTTAATAATAGGCATGTAATAAGCCAGTAGTTAAAAGCATTAATTGTGACCTAAACTAGTTTTACCAAAACTTCTACAAGTACAATTTTTAGATCAGAAAAGCTTTGTCTGACTAAAATGTTTTGAGGATTTCTACTCTAGTGGTGTAACATCATACGTCTCATGGTTTTCTCTTTTCCAGCTCTGTTTGTCTCACCTTCCCAGTCCATCTGATGCTCCAAACCACTACCAGGCCGTGTGTCGAGCCCTGTACGCTGAGACCAAGGAGCTCCGCACTTTCCTAGAGAAGATCAAGAGTGCCAAAGAGGTAATGACGCTTACAAAAAACTGCCTACATGGCTGTTCATGTGTGGCTGCAAAAGTGCACTGGCTGGCCAAAAAAACAGTCACTGTATGGATTTAGATGAGCAGATAATTATCATTGTGTGATTAGATCTTTGTTGCAGTGATTGATATGTTTCTTGCTTGTTAAATGTTTGGCAGCACCTCAAAGGAATAGTTTACCCAAATTCTGTTCCAGATCCAATTGTTTCAAACCTATTTGGCTTTCTTTCTTCTGTTGAACACAAAGGAAGATATACTGAAGATTGTAAGAAAGCAGCAGCTATTGACATCCATAGTAAAAACAAAATATACTATGGTAATCAATAGCTGCTTTCTTCCAAGTTTCTTCAAAATATCTTGTTTTGTGATCAGCAGAAAAAAGACAGTGATAAACGTTTAGCTTTTTTTTATTTCTTCTCTATGTCAGAAGACGTATCCCATGACCATATTGCATAATGGCCATTCCATAAATCAACAGGCTCAAAGAAGGCTTCGTTTTCACACGTTGAGCTGACCGTCAGTTGACCTGAAACTCGCTAAAAGTCTTAAGACGTGCAGATGAGTAGACCGTGAACATCTCATCATCAGATAATGGAGGAGGTGGAAGATCTGGTCTAAAAATTAACGCAGCCCTTGATGGAAATAAGCTTTGTGACTTTGCAGAAGGTTTTATTGAAGATAAAAATAATCCTAAAGATGGCCACTATCTGACCATCAGGTTTACTATGTAAAATCTACTCAATACTGTCAGTCTATGGGTTCATACAGTCATGGAAAACCTGGAAAAGTCATGGATTTTTAACATGGCATTTTCTACAGCAGCAGAAGACCCCACCGCGTGCCTCTCACTGTCTTACCAAATATAGACAATAGAAGATTGTAAAAATGTTGCCTGGTCTGATGAGTCTTGGTTTCTGCTGCGACATTCGGATGGTAGGGTCAGAATTTGTCATAAAGCGTGAATCATCTCATAAGGGTTTCTTAAACATGACAATGAGTTCACTGTACTCAAATGGCCTCCACTGTCAGATCTCAGTCCAATAGAGCACCTTCGGAATGTGGTGAAACGTGGATGCGCAGCTGACAAATCTGCAGCAACTGCGTGATGCTATCGTGTCAGTATGGAACAAATTCTCTGAGGAATATTTCAATTGCTTGTTGAATCTATGCCACGAAGGATTAAGGCAGTTCTGAAGACAAAAGGTAGTCCAACCCAGTACTAATAAGGTGTACCTAATAAAGTGGCCGAGTGTAGGTTATTTGTCTTAAACATGCTCATGCTGTGTAAGCATTATCTAAATAAATTTTACAGGGATATAAAAATGAATTGAAACTATATAGATTGTTGCATGCTTATTGATATGCTGTAAGAAACCTGAACGTGCATTGTTTTTCTTATTATTTACCACGTTTTTGTCGACATTACATGAAATATTAGGTCATGAAAATTAATTTGAAAGTCCTGCAAAAGTCTTGGATTTTTAGTAGTAAAAATGTATATGAATCCCGGCTTCATATAATAATAAAAATGAGTTAAATGGAGCACAGATCAACTAGTCGTCAATTTATATGTGAAAATGAAGCTTGCTTTCACAATTTCAGATGAATCTTGGCATTGTCATCCTAGAATTGGACTGCTGGATACATCTTTTGAGATTGTTCTTTAGGAAATAAAAAGCAACACAATGCAGTAGTTACACCTAATGTTATGAATTGTCAGCAAAACCCAAATTATATTACTACAATAACAATGTCATCCACAAACTCATAATTGTTTGCTTACTTAAAGGGATAGTTCTCCTAAAAATAAAAATTGGCTCCCTATTTACTCTCCCTCAAGTGATTCCAAACATTTATGAGGTTTTATGAGATAATTTGAATAAAGCTGAAATTTTATATTGACATCGGTTGTAGGAAAAACAATGGGTGTCATTGGAAATCAGCTTTCTTCAAAGTATCATCTTTTGTGTTCAACAAAATAAAATAACTCCTAAAGGTTTGGAATCACTAGAGGCTGAGTAAAATGATGGCCAATATGTTTAGCTTTGAGTGAACCATCCCTTTAAATCCAAACCATGTGCTTTTTTTTGCTATTACAGTGCATTGTTTTGCCACAACTGTCATTTACTAGTCATATTTTTTTTCTTTTAGAGCTGTGTTTCTCAACCACGTTCGTGGAGGCCCACCAACACTACATGTTTTAGATGTCTGCTTTGTCTGTTACACCTATTACGAGTCTTTCAGTCTCTAATCAGCTAATAAGCTGATTATCTGAATCAGGTGTGTTTGGTTTAGGAGACATGGAAAATATGCAGAGGGGGTGGTTCTCTTGGAACGTGGTTGAGAAACACTGTTTTAAAGCCATGAAATTACGTTTTGTTTTGTTTGTTTTTTTTTTGTCTAAAAAAGTATTTTATTTTTATTTTGGTAAAATGTATTATTTTTGTCAGCCAAAACCGTATAATCATTTTTACATTAGGCGTTAAAACAAAGATGCTTTTCTGACAGGGTGTAAATCAAACACAGCCATTTAAACTTGAATCCTCATGAGGCTGTTTGTGTTTATGGGCTTGAATAGAGCGAGTGGGTTGACAGCTAATGTGACTCATAAACAGGCCGTGGACTGTGGAGGTGGATTGAAACCAACAGTATTACCCAACACTTTGCCAATATGCTTGTTTCATCAGGCTTTAATACTGTAAGTCCTGTGCGAATATGTTTTCCTAGAGGACTACGATCTGCAACATTTAAGATTTGCATTATCCACACTAAATCTCTTATTTGTGTTCAGTATATTGTAAAATATTCTGGGTTCCACACAATTACTTCATGTTGTCCCAACACAAATCAATTGAGTTAACTTAATTGTTTTATGTTCAGTTTACTTAAATTTATAAAAACAATTATGTTGCCCCCCCAAAAAACTAATGAATTCATTTTAAATAAGTAGCTTGAACAAGGAGCAAAAGTCATCATAACTGATCTCACTTGCCACATTTATATTATTATCAGAATTATTTTCAGAGCCATTTGTAAAAATACCGCGAGATTTATTAACAAACATTTAGACGTTTTATCTTCATAGCTAAGTTTACAGTGTTCTTGTCTGCAGGAGTGAGATGCTAAAGCTTTTTAATCAACCACCATATTTCCATATAGCACAGCTTTCATACATGCTGTTAGCTGCACAGAGACTGAATGTTCTCATCAAGTCATGCAGAAATGTTTCTGAACAGATTTGCTCTGACATCTTCATAGTTATCAATTATGAACATCTTTACCTGCCTATACTTGATAGCATTTCATTATAAACCTGCACTTGCTACATAATGCACTAGAGACATACTCAACTCAACTCACTTTATTTCCATAACACTTTCACAAATCACAATGATTACCAAAGTGCTGTACATAAAACACATAAAACGCATGTAAAATATACATAAAAATAAAACACATAAACTCACATCACATGATTAAAAGCTAAAGAAAATAAGTGTGTTTTCAGTGACCTCTGAAAAGACTCAAAAGATTGAGCTGTTCTTAAAGAGAGTGAAAGATCGTTCCAGAGTCTTGGAGCTGCTACCGAGAAAGCTCCATCACCTCGACATTTTAAGCGTTATCTAGGAACTTGCAAATAGAGACGATCCATAGAGCGAAGAGATCTCACACGGTTATACGTAAGAAATTCACAGTTTATAGATGTACAAAATTAGAAGTCAAAATTATTAGAAATTGTGATTATTTTACAAATATTTTCCCAAGTGCTGTTTAACAGAGAGAAATATTTTTTCAACAGGTTTAAACTGAATAGTTTTAATTTCTTATAATTAAATCCTTTTGTCTTTGCCATGATGACAGTACATAATATTTGTTCCAGTTATTTCGCAAGGTTCTATTATTCAGCTTAAAGTGCAATAAAAGACTTAACTAGTTTAATTAATTAATTAATTTAGCTTAATTTGACAAGTCACTGGATAACAGTGGTTTGTTCTGTAGACATTTGGAAAAATACATTTCTTAAGGGGGCTAATAATATAGAACTTAAAATGGTATTTAAAAATGTAAAAACTACTTTTTATTCCAGCCAAACTAAATGAAATAAGACTTTCTCCTGAAGGAAAAAACATTATGTGAAATACTGTGAAAATGTCCTTGCTCTGACAAACATAGTTTGGGAAATATTTGAAAAAGAATCAAAATTTCACAGGAGAGCTAATTAGTTTGACCTCACTGTGTGTATATTGTTGTATATGCGCTCTTGACAACTGACTACGGTCTTATGTTTGCTGTGTAATCCCTTGAAAAAATTGCTAAAGCTCCTAAGAAGCCGTTTCTTAGCGGATTGATTGCTGAATAACTGGCGTAGTCAGACAGGCATGTTTAGCCCTCTTTAGTACTGAATGTGGCTATTTAAACTGTAACATGTAATCAAATGGCATGTGAACAGCATGTCATATAAGCCTTATCCCAATGAATGTGTTCTTTCTCCTTAGGCATTAGTGTGCATGAACCTGCCTGCTATAGTTCCTCACTGAACAGAGGATATGGCATATGTTCTGCTGTAAATACTGTGCAAAGTTCAAATGAGTTGATTATTGAATGTTTAATTTAGTATGCTAAAAGTTCTGTTATGATGTATACATTTTAGGTTACTTTAAAAGTGTTGATTTAAAAAAATTGAGTTTTAAAACTGATGTTTCCCATCTATGGAAAGGGTTTACTGTTTTCTGTTTTTTATTTAAGAGAATCTACTCCAAAGCTTTTGTAGACCAATTTCTTTTTACATTTACTGTATATACCTGAAGGTGAATAATAAGATGAGTTTTGCTCAATATGTAGGTTTGTAAGTATACAGAAAACACTGCACTACAACACTAATCAAACAAGCTTCATTTTATTTTGCATTATTCAAAGAACAACAAAACAATATAAGTTTAGCTTATTTTGTCAATTAAAAAAAATAGGAAGAAATGTTATTAGAGCCTTGGAATAAAAACACAAACCTGAGCATTTTGTTCAAACACTACTAATCAGGGCTGCACGATTAATCAAAAAAAGGTTGCAATCTCGAATTGACCCTACAAAAATGGTGACAAGCACATGTCTCAAACACAATAATTCAACTTCAGAATTATGAGTAGTTGTATTCTAATTTCACCTTATTAAAAAAATCACTTTACTGTAAATTAACAACTAGGACATATTTAAAGTCTGTTCAAGTCCACCATTCCAAGTGTATGCAAAATACTGAATTTTAAGCAACAGTAGAACTACACATAGACCTAATATTATTACTATTATTATTATTATTATTATTATTATTATTATTACAATTAATTATTATTGTTGTTTTACCTTATGTTTGAGAATAACAATAACAATAGCCTTCTTGATGATCCTTTATTTTATCTACAGAATCATGGGAAAATCATGATCTTGATTATAAGCAAAAAAAAAAAAAATAATAATAAAATAAATAAATAAAAAAAAATAAAAACTTGACTTTTTTTTAGCCTGAATCATGCAGCATTACTATTAATACTAGTAAATGTTATGAAATATACATTTAGATTTTTGTTTTTGCTTTATATATATATATATATATATATATATATATATATATATATATATATATATATATATATATATATATATATATATATATATATATAAATGATCATACCAATAATATATATATATATATATATATATATATATATATATATATATATATATATATATAGATTTAAATAGTGCCTAAAGCGGCAGACATGGCAATAGCTGGAAATTAATTCTTGTACTACTCACACCAATGGTTTTCTGCAAATAAATGGTTTAAATGGTAATTTTTGCTTGTAAAATTTGGAAGAAATTTTAATAGTAATTTAAAAAAATTAAACAAAAAAGCAGCATTTTATTTAAACACATACATAAAAGGTAAGTTGAAGAAAAAACTGATTGCAAGGACCTTATCTAGATTGTAATGTAATAATTTTTGCTTTATTTGTTGCAATTTAAGGCATTTTAGTGAAAAGGCTCACACATGGTTTAGTGGTCAGTGCGTATGTAAATGCACTTCTACAGTACATATACAGCTTTTAATTATACATTAGTAATCCATTATGTTTTTTGAATGCATGAACTCTCTTTGTGCACAAAAACTGCCTGCAGAGGCATTGCCTGATTGGGCAGCAAGTTGCAGACCAGCTGCCAAAAGCTTTTGGAATAAGTGAGTGAATGTTTTAGAGGAAAGGAGGAGTGAAGGACGAGTGGAAAAAAGGAAGAATCAGCTGCTCGGCTCTTTTAATATGAGCAACATTGATACACATAGTCTTGCTCCAGTGATTCAGAAAGTCTCTGAATGTTTGATGCATGAAGGAAATGTTTTCGGATTGTGGTTTGTGACGCCGCACAGTTTAACTTTGATTTAGGAGATCAGACTCTATCTGTTCAGATCTTATTAGCCCAGTGAGTGTGTTTCTGTTCATTCCTGATAATCATAATCAGGGGTAATGAGGGCAGCACAAATATCTTGATACCTCAGGCTGTTGATGTTGCCATCCCCTCTGCAGATCTCTTGCACGCCCCCATACTGAATGAGACCCCAAACCTTGATTTTTCCTTCACCAAACTTAACTGATTTCTATGAGAATCTTGGGTCCATGCGGGTTCCAATAGGTCTTCTGCAGTATTTGTGATGTTTGGGATGCAGTTCAACAGATGATTTATCAGAAAAATCTACCTTCTGCCACTTTTCCAAATGATCAATTAAAAGTCCAGTTATTATTATTTGTTGCTTTTACAACTGGGATCATCGACAAGACTTTTGTCAGGCAGTGTATGTGCTATTTTACATACATGTCGTAAATATCGAACAATAAACAGGTTCAAAATTGTTGCATTTTTTTATTTTTAATTAAATAGATTTTTTTTTAATTTTTAATTTTTACTTTTTTTTTAGTCATGTTTTGCAAAGGGTATTGTGGTAACCCCTTTTATTACTACACAATTCAGAAAATGCTTTAAACAGCCTGGGAGAAAAAAAATGATAATTTCACAACTTTTTGTAGAATAGGAAAGAAATGAATTCGAAAAGGTCAACATATTGATGTCATTATAGCTGTTTTAACGTTAAGTTATGATTAAATTTCCTCTTATTACAGTTATGAAATAGTTTACCAACAGGCAGGAGATGTTCACGGGCCAATGTCATCACCACATTGAAATGGTCCATAAAATAAATATAATGCGGCAAAATATGTACAGACTTATCCCTCTGTTAAAACCTTCAGAATATAGATTTACAGATAATACATGTCTTTAAGGGGGAAACATCATTTTTGAGAAAACTGATTTAAAATACATTGTCTAATTTAAATTCCACAGACACAATTTAATCAAATGCAGCAAAAGAAACACTTAAATGGGGAGTTTTGTACCTGTATAGACTAAAAAAAATCAACAGTTGTTTTTGCTTGCAGTATTTAACTTTAATAAGCAATCTAATAACCAATAGCTAAGAATAGTTCATTGTTCTGCATTCTGACCAAAAGTCTGGCTTACGTCATTTGAGAGTTATAACAAAAAAACTAAACAAATCCTAATTAAACATACAAACAAATAAATCTTTGTATTAATTTAAAGATATACACTTTCATTTGTCCAATGATAGTAACTCTCATTTATTTTGCCGTGAATGTCAAAATCACTAAAGCTCAACAAGATGAGAGAATATTCTGGGCTGAGTGTGTTGTTTAATTGTTGCTGACCACTAACTTTAAAAAACAGTGTCTGTCATTGTTGCTGTTGTCCCAGCTTCACCCGGTTTGGAAATGGCCTTTTGGCAGTCGATTAGTGGGTGTGGCTGTAGTGCAGACTAGTTAAAGTAGTTAAAGACAGCATTAGCTGCGTATCAATTGTGCTTTAATATTGGCATGTTTACTGGTAATGTCTGTCACATGAGAATGAATCGATTTACAAATCAGACTCATCATGGCGACATTGAATGTTCCTCGTTTGACCCCAAACTGAGGACAAGCCAGGGCATTATACTGTATATTTATAATCGCTCAGAAATGCTGAAAACATTGTATGGTATGTAGATATTTGGGTGTTTTTTTTATCATCATGGTGTATGTATTATAATTTAATGTATTTTATGTTTAAAATATTTTTGGGATAAAAAAATTATGTCCTAATAAAAAGTTTTTAAAAATGTAGTTCTTAGCATATATTTGTATACTATATTATATATTATTATTGTATAATATATTTATGTATTTGTGATTTGAATGACTATATATATATATATATATATATATATATATATATATATATATATATATATATATATATATATATATATATATATATAATATATAATTTATTTATTTATTTTATTTATTAATTTATTTATTTGAAAATTTAAGATTTTTTTAAATTTTAAAATTAATAAATAAAATTTATTTATTTGTTTCCTGTGAGATAATAATCTCAATAAATCTATTTAATTCAATCAATTATTTATCTTTTGGAAATAATATGTATAAATGAAAAAAACAATAGACAAACTATGTACAAAAGTAAAAAATAACTGTGTTTGTATACATATATGGGTATGGGTATATGTGTGTGTATATGTTCATGTATATATGTGTATATGGAACTTTTAAAATATATTCAACTACATATGTTTGCATTTTTATTCTCAGAATTTGCGGAAGATGGAAGGAGAAACAGAGGAGCCCGTCAGAGACCTGAATGAGCTGCAGAATGCTGACTGGGTAAGAGCAATCCTATAATCCCATTCCCCATGGGCACAATGCATTCAGAGTATGTGCTGTTAAGATCCTGTTTGATCATTTACTTAGACTAAGTACATATTTTGCATATTCTCCACAGGCTCGGTTTTGGGTGCAGGTGATGAGGGACCTGAGGCACGGCGTGAAGCTGAAGAAGGTGCAGGAGCGTCAGTATAACCCTCTAGCCATCGAGTACCAGCTCACGCCTTACGAGATGCTCATGGATGACATCCGATCCAAACGCTACAAACTCCGCAAGGTCATGGTAAGGATAAAAATGCATCAATCAATACTGGACACTCGGGGAAAACATTTCTGTGCATATGATCTCTAAATCTCACGTTTTTCCTCTTGAACAAACAAGCATGAGTCATGTTTTCCCTTTGTACCAACGGCACAGTTCAGTTCACTTTTATTGCAGTTTGTTACGGAGATCATAAACCACAACAATGTTTGCTTTGCTTATCAGAAATCAAGCAGCCTTTTTTTCTGAAGCTCTTTTATAGGCTTGATTTGAATGGGTGAATGACACTTAAAGGAATAGTTCACTCAGCAATGAAAATGTACCATTTACTCCTAAGTTGTGCATAGTTTTGCATAGATTATATTTTAAAGAATGTTTGGACCCACACAGTTGATGGCTGCCATTGACGTCTATAAAATAAAAATATAATGGAAGTCAATGGGGAACCACAGCAGTTTAGTTACTCATGACCTTCAAAGTTATTGAAATATAAGGTTAAAAACATTCAGAGATTTTCCACGTCAGAGTCAGCTCATTACTTGATGGATTCTTTAAACATGCTTGCATTCTTTCCAATGACACAGACAGAGTTTTCTTTCTCATTGTTAACAGCCTGTCTGACCTTTAACCTTTTCTCTGTCTTGTTTTTGCTCTAGGTTAATGGTGACATTCCTCCGAGGTTAAAGAAAAGTGCTCACGAGATCATCCTGGAGTTCATTCGATCGAGGCCTCCATTAAATCCTGTGAGCATCAGAATATACACAAATACTAATTCAAATTTAGTATTATAATTCATTAATTTAGCCTCAAGGAGTAGATTTACATGCATTTCACGACAATGATGATAATGATGATGATGATAATGATGATGATGATGATGTAATGTGAAAAAATACATTACAGCATCAGACCTTTTTTATATTGTCTGAAATGGTTAGTTCAAGAATCCAGTTTCTCTAAGTCACGTTTTTTCAAGAGCCTACTCTGCTCCGATTGGTCAGATTATTGCCTGGTCAATCTTACAATATAATTTATTCTTATCATTATAATAGCATTATCATATGCAATTATGCAGTTGTCATATAAGATATCATTATGCAATTCTGAGTGTGCCTCACACAGGTGAGTGGGCTTGACAAACCACCTGTAGAAAACACACTCTTTCATCTTGCTAATACTTTAACCAACACTTGCACCAGTTTTGCACATTTGCACCAGACAAATTTTTTGCAATCACTGCATATCACTACGAGAAATGCATTAATGAAGTGTGCTTCACATGGGTGAGTGGGGTTGACAAACCGCCTGTAGAAACATCCTTCTCTCTCTCTCTCTCTCTCTCTCTCTTTCTCTCTCTAACCCCACCCCCTTACTCTAGCACTAAATTATTTAACAGTTCCTTTGTATAATTAGCACTTCTTGTGTGTATGGCCTTCTCTTGCTGAATCTATGAATGCCTCCTTAATTTTAAGTCACTTAGGACAAAAGTATCTGCTAAATGACTAAATTTAATTATATGAAAATTACGTACAACACAGTGATTTGAACAGTAACAATAATATAAATTGTATTTTATCAAGTAAAGCCTGCAGGAAGTAAGACTGGACTTTTAAGAATCAGTGAATCTTTGTGTTATACATTTTGACTTATATTGACTATCTTTCAAAGGTGACAGTTTCTGCTAAAATTAATTTGAAATTATACCCAAACTTACAAATGATTGTGTGTGTTTGTGTGTGTGTGCTTTAAGGTTTCTGCTCGTAAACTGAAGCCTCATGCTCCTCAACCTCCGACTCTCCATGAGCGTATCCTTGAGGAGATCCGATCAGAGAGAAAGCTTAGGCCCGTGTCTCCTGATATGATCCGCAGGAGTCGACTCGGTGAGTTCATTTTTCCAAGCTTGCTGTCATAAAAACAGACACTTAAGTAAAAAAAAAAAAAAAAAACATTTTTAGCTGAAAATGGTTTTAAAAAAATTAAAAACTGCTTTTATTGTAGTTGAAATAAAACAAATAAGACTTTCTCCAAAAGGGAAAAATATTATCAGAAATACTGTGAAATTTTCCTTGCTTTGTTAAACATCATTTGGCAAATATTTAAAGAAGAAAAAAATTCAAAGCGGGGCTAATAATTCTTAATATTTCTTAATAATAATAATTCTAATAATAATTATTAATTTTTCAATATTATTTAGTTTAAACCTAAATTTTAAATTAAATTAAATTTGAAAAAACAGTAATTAAATAACGTAAAATTATTAAAAACAAATATATATATATATATATATTTTTGAGCACACATTTTTTAAACATAAATCAATATTCTATGTGCATTATTTACTGAAACAGCATTGTATTTGATTCAACCAGAGCTTAATATTGTTAGTTATGCTAAATGTCAAGTATATGAGTGTTGTGGATGGAGGTGAGTATGTGACTGTAGAGGCTCATGTCAGTGTGTCATTCTCATGCATGGCTGCTTGTGCAACACTCAATCATTTGTGCTCTCTAACAGCATCTCTGTTGCTGCCCTGTGTCTCTAATTATTGGCTGTACATTTTATTTACATACTCAAATGTCAAATATTTTTCGCCTATGATTAATTCAGTATATTTTCAAGAATGTATCGATCCACATTGTTCCAAGGTAATAGATTTACGTATCGTACAGTATCTTTAATTAATATTTTCATGGATCATCTTGGTCAATAAATAAATAAATAAAACGATGCCTTTGTTTTCCCAATTATTTCCCTCTGTTAATTGGAGAAAAGTATTTATTTTGTAGTGATCAAGTTTCAATTGTTTAATTTCAATGAAAGTCAAGGTTTTTTTTTAAATGAAAAGTATAAAAAGGATAAACAAAGCAGATTTTGTTTCACAACATTCTTGCTCGTATTTACAAAGGGGGCCAATACTTTTGAACATTATTGTATTTGATGCGATTTTGTTTTTTTATGCTGGTTTTTTGCTGTATGATTCAGCAGTTAAGGATTTTAGGGATTTTAGTTTACCTAAAGCTCTCTAGGCTGCTTGCGTGGATGATTGCACAGTTACACAAGCACAAATCTGGCGCTCGTTCCATCGGAGTGATCCATGTTGAATAAATATCCCAGATTTACAGCAGACATTAGATTTGCACATACGGTATTGGCAGTTTGTTTGGTGAAAAGACTCTGTTGTTTTCTCCCTCTGCCTAAAGAGTCAAAGTTCACCGTTTACAGTCTGTAAAGCTTTAAAACTTAAAGGAGATTATCAGAAATATCTGCTGTATGCTGAAAACATGTTTTAATGATGTTCTGCTACATACTTCAGTATTGAAGTCACCTAACAGAGCTTAAAATGCTCTACTTTCTATGTTCTAATTGATTGTTGAAATATAATAATTTACACTGTCTTTCATGACTTGTTTTAACGAATTGTTTATTTAGGCATACAACAAAAAATAATTAATACATCAATAACATGTCAAGTAAAGTATACCGTGTAGGCTAATATAGTGCAAATACTCAGTAATGTTCTTCTCTATAAGACATACGTTCCAGTGAATGAGATGCTACAACATATTGTTTTCTTTCTATGGTTGAAACATTAATTAAAGGGGACCTATTATGCCCCTTTTTACAAGATGCAAAATAAGTCTCTAATGTCCTTAGAGCAGAGGTGCTCAAGCTGTTCCTGGAGATCTACCTTCAACCTACATTTAACTTTCTGAGAATTAATGCTACAAAATCTGTCATTTTTATCGGGATAAATCACAAACAAAAAAAAAATCATGAAAAACTGGCGGGTCTGTCAAATGGGATTGTGCTTGTTTCAGAAGAGGGCGGAGCTACAAATGTGTTAGCATAGTGGCAGTTTTAAAAACAAGACCAATGTTCTATGATAATGAGGGCGAGATCGTCACTAATGGGCGGGGCTTTCTCCTTTGACGACACTTACAAATGGAGAATGCCAATCAAAGTGTTTATGCAGACTGATATATGATTCCTTGCTGAAACAAACCTTACACATACATTCAAAGACTAGAATATGTGTATCATTAAACCCTTAATATGTGTACATTGACATTATATGTTGTCAGAAAGCTTCATAAATCATCAGTAATGTTATGCGAGTTGCAGCTTTGTCAGTTTTACCTGCATACTAAAATGGTCTGGTATGAAATTGTTAAAACGACACTTATTCTTTCTTGTTTCTTAAAGAATAAGCTCAGATGTAGAAGTGGAGCATCCATTATATTTGACATTGAATGCATTGAACTTGTTTTAACCCATGGCTTTATTTGTCTTCTCCTCCCTCTCTTCACCCATGGCCTCTGGTTTTCTCTCAGTAATGCGTCCTCTTAGCATGTCTGTCAGTTTTGACTCATCAGGTAAAGACTTGGCTTTGGCTTTACCTCAGTATCTGCTCACTCACAGACCCCCGCTGGCTTGTGTGCTTGTGCCAGACCCTTGATGTCACCCTCCTCTGGTGCTGATGTTTATAGCATTATAGCATTAGCATCAGTCATCAAGAAAATGACAAGATTGCTTAGTTCAGGATTGCAAGCTTTGAACAAAGAGTATAGAGTGAGATGCTGTTTGACACTTATTGAGATTCAGTTTTTTCATAATGTGCTTTTTTATGTAATGCTAAGATCCAAAATACACATTAAAGCTTTTGTTTGTCGCACTTTATCAATTTGTGTTTGAAGATTACAATGCAAAAGATTATATTTTGAAGAATGTTTGTAACCACAAAGTTGATGGTTTTTATTGAATTCCATATATTTTTTTCTACTATGAGAGTCAATGGCAATCATCAGCTTTGTTAACAAATTTATAGTGCGACAAAAGGTCACACTTTATTTTGATGGTTCATTTGTTGAATTTAAGTTACATTGCATCTACATGCCAACTAATTCCCATTAGATTATAAGTAGACTGCGAGGACGGGTTGGAGTTAGGGTTAGTGTAAGTTGACATGTACTTACAAAGTTTTTTTAAAGACAGTTGAATGTCTGTTGAAGGAGCAGTTTCAGCAGATGTTAAGCAGACAGTCTACTATTACTCAAATAGGCCATCAAAATAAAGTGTTAAAGTGTAAATGCATTAAACATTATTTTTTTAAAGAAAGCACATTATGAAAAGACAAAATCTCAATAATCAACAGTTAAAATATCCAATTATAATGGAAATTTTTAAAAGACTGTTTTCCTAAAGTTTCACTTCTACAGCACTGCCATACACCAAACTTCACAGTTTTATTTATACTTGTATTCTGGAGATTTTTACTGAGTAATATGTTCATACATAATTTGTCTGATTATGGTTTACATTTTATTCTACTAAACAAAATGATGAAAACATCTGTTGTGACTGTTCGCAGTATTTTCTGAATTATGGAGTGACAAAAAAAGAGATTCCCACAATACTCTCTGTAAAACCTTTGACACTAACATGTCCAGTAAAAACTTAAACAAGACATGAACCTTACTTTGTCCAAGGTTGAAATATTTTGCTTAAAAAGTATGCAATTTAGCCCCATTTTCATATCTTCATAACATTTTAGAAAACTTGAAAAGTTAAAAATGTTTGCAATTTATTAAGAGTTGACCCAAAAATGAAAAAATATCTCATGATTTACTCATCCACTGACACTGTCAGTCTTTCTAAGTGTATATGACTTCATTCTTCGTTCAGTCAAAGACCATCAGACCATCTACAATGGCAACAGGTGGCTGTTTCTCTTCAAGCATCCAACAAAGTGCATCCATGCATAACAACAAGTGCCTCGCACAACTCCAAGGATTGATTAAATGTCTCCTTGAGCATAGGGTTGGGCGATCAATTTGGCATTCTGTGATGTCTAATGTGAAACATCACGATGGACGATAGCATCGTCGACGTAGGTGAATTAATTATTTATGAATAATTAATGAATTCATAACAAATTAGACTGTCAAATCTTCTGACCAATAAAATGCTGTCTAGTATCTAAAAAGCCCAGCTCCCTTCAAGATGCTTCTCATTGGCTTTTCATTTGATCCGCTTAAAGTCAACCAATCTCATTGGCAGAGCTGTGATAAAAACAACGATATTGGCTGTTTTTTTTTAATGGGAGGAGCTACTATATGTCCCGCCCTGTCTATGTTTCAGTTGAGATTGCGTCAAATTTCGAGTACAAAATGCACATTTCAAAGCACTACACAGGACATTTAAATGCTGGAATATAAGGACTTTTTCAGTTTCTTTGCCATGATTTAAAGTCTGGATAAGTTGACAATAGTCAGTATGAGTCAGACTTTAGGGAGTCAGAAATTGACAGAAAATTGTGTACCTTATGATGAGCAAAGATTTTTTTAAACAGGCAAAGATGCTTTATAAGATTATACAGTAGCTTGGAGTTGAGTTGATATTGCACAGCAGTATGGTTGCTTGCACTGGACTTTCCTCTGCAATTCCTCCTGCTTCGTGTGTTTTTTTTTCCCCCCACCTTCACATCCCCCTGATCCTCTGTGCAGTATGGCTGCTGCTTCTGTGTGGCTGCGCTGTGTTTGTGCTTCTGTGTGCTGATGTCACAGAGCTGCTGATTGGTTCACTTATAGGTGTGGCTTACTCTTCTACTGGTTTACTATGTGAATATCAGGTTCAGAAAGATATGGCAAGACATTTTAACATAATCTATAAAGCACAGTATTTATTTTCATGCTACTAGTAAATATTTCTTTTTATAGGTGCCCAAATATTTTCTTAAAAAGGGCTAAAAATCTAACTTGATTAAGAGTTCTGGGCCAAATTATATAGAGCAAACTGTGTTTTATTAAAGTTGCCATGGGAGATTTCGTAATTCATTTCATAATATTTAAAAATAAATAGCAAAAACTATTTTATATTTGTACATCTTATAAGGAATGTATCACAATAAAAAATGAACAAAAATCTGTTATAATGGAGTTCAATGCTGTATAGTCGAGTTGCTGAGGTCTTGTACATTGTCCTTAGTACTAAGTGACAGTATTTACATAAAAAACAAAAGATCAATTACATGATTTAATTTGGACATTTAATTTCAGTTAGCTTTGTGTACCTTAACTGTACAACAAACACAATATTAGGTTAAATCATTAATGACAATATCTGTTGTATAAATAAATACCTGTCATTCTCCCTTTCTTGATGGGACGGTGGGCCAAATCAAAGGTTACCATAGGCCAACCTTGGCTCGAGTGTCCTAGTTAGGGTATCTCTGCTTTAGATACAAGTACTTGAAAAAAATACAATAGTACTTATTCATTGAATATTAGTACTTATAAGATGCTAGTTTTTATAGTTAACCATTAGACATTGTTACTGATTATTACACAATATGGCTTATTCTGACATTAAAATTATTTAATTTATAAATTCCAGTCGTGACCAGTTCATCATTTTATATACAGTTATTTATTTTCATTATGTACTAGTACTTCTATTTTAGATGCTAGTACTTAATCATCAATTACTAATATGTATTTATTAGATCTTCATACCAAAATAGCATATTAAATATAATATATTAGCTCTAATTTATTTCATAACAGTATTTATTTATTATGTACTTGTACTTAATGATTAGCTAATAGTATATATGTGGTCAATACCAGTAGTGCACATTTATTAGATACTAGTGTTTATTTGAAATGTTACTAGTAGATCATTTTGTTATTTGGATTTTTACTGGATTTTAACTGTGTGGCTATTCTTACTAATTATTACATAAAACGTAGGAATTTTTACTAGTAATAATTATAAAAGATACCAGTGTCTAATAATAAATACTAGTACGTAGCTAGTTGTACATATAAAAAAAAAACATTAATACTTATTTATTAGATTTTAGTAACTAAGTTTCATGAGTGTCTATAACTAGCATTTTTAAAAATGTTTACACATTGTTATTATTATTTTTAATGTTTTATTATATATTTTCAATTTACTATTTTTATTAGTATTATTATTACGTTATGCTATATATCGTTATTTAATTACACTGTAAAACCCAAACAAAGTTAAGGTAACTTAAACCATTTTAGGAAACCGATCGCAACAAACCATTTAGGTTCAAAACTAATCCTAATGAGTTCTGTGAACTTAATCCATTTGATTAAACGAAGCAATTTAAGAACTGTAAAAACCAATACATGAAGAGAAATCAAACCAACTAAGCATAAAACCCATTTAGTTAAGGCAAACAAACCATTTGAGTTAAAAAAAAACTAATCTATATGAGTACTGTGAAGTGTGAACTTACTCCATTTAAGTTGAAGTAATAAGATATTTAATTAACCCAATACCTTCAACACTGAGTTCAAAACTCTTTTCAAATGAATAGAATTAATTTTCAGTAAATTGAGTTAACTACACTCATTTCATTTGATAAGGTTGACTGTTGGGTTTTACTGTGCTTGTATTAATTTTTATATTTTTATTATTATATTATTTTCTCTTGTTATAAAAGTTTAAAAAGAAAAAGTGGAAAGTGTTTTACCATGTCTGTCATATCAAGCATTTGTGTTCTTTTCACTCAATACAATGTTTACACACTAGCAGTTAATAATTAGGTACTAGTACATAATGGAAACAATATCTGGCATCTAAAAACCCATTCAGTACTGATAGCATGAAATAAATACTAGTATGTTTTATAGATTAAATGTAAAATGTCATATAAAGTTCTGTTTTGTGCTGTTGGGATCATATTGAAGGATATGTTCCTTTCTAGGCGCAGGCAAAAGTATAAGCACTCCACAGGACTTGTTCAGAAGCTCAGGTAAAGTATTCCTGACGCAAGCATGAATCTCACACTCACTGACAGCTTCTGAAATCAAACACAGACCATGTGGTTGAACAGCAGAGCTCACCAAATTTATTTCTCAATGAGGATTAGTCTAGTTTAAGAGGCGTTATGCAACTCTGGGATCTGCAGGCATCAATATTTAATATGCTGCAATGTTTATTTTTATACCATTTTCGTCTCTGTTCTATAAATGTCGCACTTTAGTCTCAGATTACGAGGACTATTGACATGTGGACATTTGTTTGCAGTGTATATTTTTGTAAATATAGAAAATATGCAAATCTATGTATATTACAAAGTACAGCTATGGAATACATTTAAGAGACCACTTAAACATTCTCAGTTATTCTGGATTTGGAATTCATAGGTAAGTGACTGAGTAAAATGTAATTTTTATTATGGCATTTGGTTTATATTATGGAAAAAATATTCTATTTAAAATATTCTAAGAACAAATGTTTTATATTAATTTTTTACTCAAACCCATACCTAATAAATTCTGTAATCCATAGCTGTACACACATACATTCATGCATACAAATGTTACTTTATTTTATTATTCATTTTATTTTTGTTATTATTTTTTTTATAAAATAGAATAGTATTTCACAACATTACTGGTTTGCTTCATTTTTCATCAAATCATCAAATAAATGCAGCATTGGTTAGCATATGAGATTTCTTATTAAGATGTCCTCTATGAAAAAAAATCTCACCAATCCCAAGCTTTTGAATGTGTATTTTCATTGCTGTGGATGTCAGCGTTATGTAATTTCATGACTATATTCTACCCTGCGTAATCTTTTACCCTGATCCACTTTGGCCATCTGTTTCTGAGCGTAGTAACCTAAAACATATGGTTTTGTTCATTAAAAAAACAAAAGTTTTTTGGCATACACCTCTCAAATCTGTTTAGTTGTTTACAGAAACATAAATACAGTGGGGGAAATGATTCTTGGACACGTCATGTTTTTTCCTGGGTAAGATATTTTTAAAGGAGCTGTTGACATGGAATTGAACCAGATTATGCTAAAAACCCACACAATAAAAACATAAAAATTTTACAAAACAATCTTATGTGTAATAACAATGAAATGGCAAAAAGTACTGAACTACTGAAACCTACAAAAAAATCTTGAATGTTCAAAAAAATCTTGATGTTGGATGGTGGAGGAGTGTCGCGGACGAAAGTGAAGAGCTGGGGGGTGGGTGTCAGTCGCGGCCAAAAATGAAGAGCGTTGGGGAGTCACGAAAGAAAATGAAAGTGAACAGAGGGCAGGTTGAGGAGGGGGATCGTTAAAATGAGGTGCCGGATCAGATTTCAATATCCTGACAATGAACTACAGAGGGTTGCTGAAGAACTACTGAGAGATTTCAGCGGCTGTCTGGGCCTGCCTTGTTACACCTTTCCTTCTTTATGTTTTCAATACTTTTTCCTGCGTAATTTATTTTTATTATGCATAACTTAATTTGCAAACTAATTAGTTGTGTTTTCTTTGCATATATGGATTTCTTTGGTTGTTACCAACATCTGAAAATTTCAAGTCGACAGCACCTTTAGAAACATGTTTTCTGAGAAAAATGTTGACGTGTTCAATACTTATTTTCCCTGCTGTATTTTTTTTAAATTGGTCTAATTGAATGTTGTTTGAGAGATGAACTATAAGCTATATCTGCATTCAGATTTTGTTTTATAATTCTATAGTTCGCTATGTTGTCAAAGAGTAGAGTTTCTTTCCCAGTATATCTATAAATGTGTCCAGTAAGTGAGGTGGTAAGGTGCCATAATTGGCAAACTATTTTCTGTTTTCCTGTATGGCGGTTTAAGAAGAATGCTTATAAGCTTCAGGCTAATGTTCAAGACAGCCGATTTCATCATTTCCAAACAGATAATGCAAACATCCAGTTCTCAAGATCACATTCGACAAATAATTAGTAGTTGTGCGCTGTGTAAACAAAACCCTGTTTTTCCTCATCCGTTGGCCATCTCTTTTCTTATTGCTGATTATGTCAACACACAGATATCCCAGATGGACCTCGCAAGTTGGCCATCAGCACACTATCTCTGGCTAACGGCACGTCACCGGCTCGAAGTCCTGTGAACGGTGTAGCCGGAGGGCATTCACTGTCCCAGAGGAAAAGGTTACTCAAAGCACCTACACTAGCCGAACTGGACAGCTCCGACTCTGAGGTGAGTGTGCTTGAAATTTTCTCAAGAATCCTGCTGAATACGACAAATACCAACACAATCTCACGGCAATTCGTAACTTTTTCATTTAGTGGCTAATTCGAATGAATTTGTACGATCTAATTCGTACAATTTAGTACGATTTGCTTATCCCCCAATGATGGTTGGGGTTAGGGATGGGGTTAGGTGCCACGCCTCCTTTTTAAAATCGTACCATTTTGTACGACTGAACTCGTACGAATTCGTACAAATTAGCCACTAAACTGGCAAAACGTAAAATACTTACGTTTTCTCGTGAGATCAGGCTGCAAATATGCAAATCACCTGCCTCGCTTTCTTCATCCAGGAGGAGCAAAGCACCCGCAAATCTGACAGCAGCTCCAGCATATCCACCTCACTGGTTGAGGACACGTCTCCAGAGTCTGTCATGGGCAAAAAACGTAAGTGGCATAAAGACATATAGTTGACGTCAGAATTATAAGCCCTCCTGAATAATCAGTCAAAGAGCCTACAGTTATTTGTAATATGTAGTGTTGGTTTTAAAGTGGTGGTTCAGTCAAAAATGAACATTTGCTATTAATTCACTCACTCTCAGAACATCCGAGATTATTTGTTTTCGCTTAAACTGTTGTCAAAATATTCAGGCAAAATGTAATTAATACCTTTGGCTCCTAATGATACATTCAGCTGAGCGTAATTTACAGCAGCATTACTTTTAATCCGCAGCCTCATTCAAGTGGTACAAAGTTATATCTGGTTCCCAATGAATGACTCTTTTGAACTGCTTCTTTTAGTGGACTGGATGATCTAATTAATCCAGATTCACTGAATAATCTGAAACAATTTGCAGCCTGAGTCAACCCAAATTCACAAGTCAAAACTCACTTTCAGATTTGCCTGACAGTCACTCCGACCAGAGATCCTGTGATGCCAGTTAGATCCTCATTCATTCAATTCACTGACTTGAAGAAACTTAATACTTGGAAAAATCGCTAAAAAAGTACAGTAAAATACAATCATTTTGCTTCATAAGATCTCAATATGTCTTCAGAAGACAAAAATATTTGTTTTGTGTTGCCTGCCCTGCTGAAAAATCCAGCTTAAACCAGCCTAGGATGGTTGGCTGGTTTTAGATGGTTGACCAGCCTGGTTTTAGAGGGGTTTTGGCTAATTCCAGGCTGGTTTTCAGGCATTTCCAGCCTGGTCTTAGCTGGTCAGGCTGGAAAGTGACCAGCTAAAACCATCCAAGACCAGTTTGACTATCCTGGTTTAAGCTGGACATAGCTGGTTTTGGCTGGGCTCCCAGCCTGGCTAGGCTGGTCAAGCTGGTTTTAGCTGGTCATCTCCCAGCCTGACCAGCTAAAACCAGGCTGGAAATGGCTGGAAACCAGCCTAGAAGTGGCCAAAACCTCTCTAAAACCAGCTTGGTTGTCCAGCTAAAATCAGCCAACCATCCTAGGCTGGTTTAAGCTGGATTTTTCAGCAGGGTGAAATTATTATTTTCTTTACTTTTGGCCATTGACTTCATTTAATGAATCTCCAATAACCACAGTTTTAGTTAATACTCTAATCTCCTACCAAAGAAAACATTTTACCTGCATTTTGGATGGCCTGAGGATCAGAGAAAATGAACAGCAAATGTAGATATTTTTGTTGAGCTATCACTTTAAGAAATCACTTGATTTGGAAACCACCTAGAAATGCAGGTGAATAGATTGTGAGTAAATAGTTATTTTTAGCTTTCGTGTCTGTAAGTTCATTGGCTTAAGGGTGTGTGGGGTGATTTACCACTTGCACAAAAGCTCCTTGTTTAAAGATACGATGAAGCTCATTCTAACAGAGATCATCAGAGTGTTTTGGAAAAGTCGCATTGTAGAGCTGCACAATATATTGAAAAAATATTGGTATTTTGATAATAGTAAATGCAAGATCTATAGTGCTCAGCATAATTGAATACACCCCATTTTGAAAAATAATTATGAATATTTTTGTCCATTTCACAGTAAATATAGGTAATGTATTTTGCTGCATCTAAACAAAACAGATTTATTAAACAGATGTATTTATTATAATAAAATTTTAATCACCAAACATGTATGAAAATTGAAAGATAATACAATTAAATTCATGTAAAATATTGCAAAAAAAAAAAAAAAAAACCTACAAAATGTCAATTAAATGTTTCCATTTTTTGCTTCTCTTGATTTTTCCTGGTGTTTGTAGATTGCAAGTGTGCCGCAAGCCTGCGTTTGAGTGAAGGTCTCGGCCGTTAGATCGCCCCCTGGGGGCTGGCTGCAGTACAAGTCATAAAGCCCGCCTCCTCCGTGTTAATGAAGGAGACTTGAGCCCAAATAAAAAAAATTATTACACTTGCAATAAGATGTCCCTAAAGATGGTTCTGGTCGATTAAGGCACTGGTTATTGTGCTGAAATAGGTGCAGATCTTCATTTCAATCACAGCTGTGATTGACAGTTTCTCAAAACAGACTGTCTGAGCTTCGGCAGGAGACTGAAGTGTTATTATTCGATTTCTGTGTTATTTTACCTTGACAAAATGAGTTCAGCAGTAAACTACAGATTCTGACATACATGATCCTGGTGGAACACTGTTTATTCGCTAAGGTCAGGGCTTTTTTTGGGCTTTATTAGTTTGCTGATACACGCCTAACCACCCAGATAGCAAAATACACTCGGGCCAGTTCCGGCTAGATTCTCGCCTGCCGGCGACTTACCCCTCAGAGCTCAGACTGACTACCTCTACTGGACCTACTCCGGATGCCTGGACTCACTGCCCGATTCCAGCCCGAGTCAATCGAGCCAGATGCGGCGGCCGAGCGAGCCGGCGCTGCCGCATGCGAGCCGGAATCAGCCCGCGACGCCGCGAGTAGGTTATGCGCTGCCGCCCGGAGCTGGCGCGATTGAATATATAAAACCCTCATATTTGTTAACGTTATTACATCCATTTGTGTTGATATGACAGCAAACGCATGCTGAGAAGTCCGGGGGGTGTGGTTGATTTTACATAAAGCGTTTGGTTGGAAGCTCGACTCCGCTCATTTTCGCGGCTCCTCCTCTGGCTCCATCAGACAGTCCTTCTGCGCATGTCAAGGCTCCAATTTCAGCAGTCTTTTGCGACAGTTTGTGCCCTTCAAGCAGGCGTTTTGCCCTCAAGGCGTTCAATGGGAAAAGGGGCTGTCGCGTCGTCCATATTTTTTACAGTCATTGGTAGATTGTAGGTTGCTAGGCAACCATCAACTGTTTTCTCAGAGGATGACAAGCTGACAAAACATTGCTGACACTCTAATCAAAGAGCTTAGGATGACCAAGAGGCGACACTCAATAGAACGTTCCATTGCAACAGCAGTGCCCAGCAACAGCCCCAGATTCCGCCATTTTGGAGTGAAAGCGGTCGGCTTTCTATTTGATCTTATTGCTGTCTCGATGGCAAGCAGCTGCTGTGTTTTTTGTTTATTTATTTAAAAAGCGCATTAAAGCTGAGATACAACCTGAAAGACGACAATACAAAACTTACTACCACAATCATCAGCACTTTTAATAGTTTATTTTTTAGATTTATCATATGCTGTTGTTCTATTGGAATTTTCATTGTGCTGCTCCATCTAGTGACTGTTTCCCAAATCGCACTAGAGTGTCGCCTCTTGGTGATTTTATGCTCATTGCTCTAATACAAGTTTTATTTATAGAGAAAATTACGAAGCACTGCAGTGTTTGAGTGTTCTGTGTTTGTCTTAGATTATTAGTCTTACTGAAATGTGTATTTTCCACCCAAGCTGAAGCTGGTTGGTCAATTCTTGTCACGTGACTCGCAGTGCGCTCGCAGGATTCGTTGATGCAAGCACATCACACCACTTGTGCTCAAGCCGCGTACCTCCAATGGAAACAACACACTTGTGAAAACTGTAGAAACACACGATATGTGAACGGCCCCTAAAAGGCCGCCGTCATTTGCGAACTCCATCAGTTGATCTTCTTGCACAGATATGCTGGATTCACCTGATTAGTTGACAAATGGGTTGCGGATCTATTCCTTGGCAGTTCACTGGGCATTTTCCCCTTAGCAAAGAAACTTTCCAAAGACATTTGTTTCTTACGCATTATGCTGCTTGTGGGTTAAATTTGGACGCTAATATGACCAAGATGTAAGCGAGAGAACACGGTCATTTTTCAAAATAAAAGACTTGTCAAAATAAAAGTTTGTTCAGTCTCAGATCATAAATAAAACTGAAATAATTAATGATTTCTTGTGCGGCCCGGTACCAACTGATCCACTGACCAGTACTGGTCCGCAGCCCGGTGGTTGAGGACCACTGCGTTAACACACTTTTTTTTAGACACCCATTAGTCCACAAAGTGGTGCAAATGAACTATTGAACTATTGAACTATTTAAACACTGTGGTGCAAAACATGAAAATTACTGTTGCACCGGTCTGAAAATTGCAACAAATCACACCAAACACATCTTGTGTCTTATTGCGCCGGGTGGATATTAGGGCCCTAAATGTTTGCACCTTTATTTTTAGTTAGCACCTGTTTGTTTTAAGTATGGTCACTAATACAATATACCATAAATGAAATGTTAATAATCATAGTTATTTAACATAAATAAATAATTTGCATTTTACTAGCTTAAGGATAGCATTTAGCCAGTTCGTTATATCATGAGAATTATTGATATAGCAACACTCAACAACATTGCATATTTTCCCAGTATCTCCATTTTTTTTTCCAGCTCCACCTCAGTTCCTGCCCATTTCTTCCACACCTCAGCCTGATAAACGCATCGCTCCTCAGAGGAGACACTCCATTGAGAAAGAGGCTCCCACCAACATACGCCACTTCCTGCCTCCATCTCGACAGAACTCCAAATCTCTGGTAACTGACACATAACAGCGTTCTTTTTCCATTGTCGAACAAATTCCAGTGCAGTAAATGAGAGTAATTCAACATAGCGCAGTCATTTGGTGGTCAATCCTAACTGTCCTGTGTCTTGTGAAAGTGTTATGATATTGAGTGTGGAGAGAAAGAGAGTTAAAGGAGAAGCCCAACATACGGCACCTTAGGATATATTGGGCAAAATGTAGGATTGGAATTGCACATAATATCAGCTGTCAAATATACTCTTGCTGGTGAAGGGTCAATATAAAGATATTGAGTGTATTGTAGGGCACTTAGATGCATTGTAATTAACATATATAAAGCTACTATATTATATATTTATATATATATATATATATATTATATATAAATCAGTAAGGTTTTTTTGAAAGTCTTTTTTGTTTGTCAAGTTCGTGTTAAACTAATAAAATGATGGTAAAGAATTTAATTTATCTTTAAATATATGCTAATACTTGCTATCCGCTTGTTAAGTTGTGTTGATGGAATGCTGTTTCGGGTCCAAGCCGCTACTTTTACATTACATTTTTTAATAAAATCATGGTGTACACAACAGTCTCTGGACTTGTTGCATTACAGACATCGATATTTTAACAATTTATTACAAAATAATCACTTTCTGGCCGTCTGATATTAGGCATTGTTATGTAAATGTATTGTGTTCATGATTTTCGAAAGTAATACATGGCTTTGTAAACGTTTATTATTAATATTTGTTAAGCCTTCCCATTGGATCCAGAACCTGCTTTGTGTGACGTCACACTTAACAAGTGGATTATTATTACATTTTTATTAATCTGAGAGAAACATCAAACAAAAGAATTCATTATAAAGTTGCATGATAATTATAATTTAGGTTAATTTAACATTATAGGATTTCTTATCATCATATTAAAAAGTTTTGTGTAGAAGATCAATGTCAGGTTTTATTTCCAGATTTATTATTATTATTATTATTATTATTATTATTATTATTATTATATTATTATATTATATATTATATTCGATTAGATTAGATTCTCTTATTTTTCTGAACAAAGACAGACTTAAATGGTACAATCTAAAATATTAAATATCCTGTAGATGAGCAATTCACTTCTTTGAAGAGGAGCACACAATTTTTGCACATTTTTCGCGTTTTAAGGTAGCTGCGATTAAATAAAAAAGTTCACATAAAAAACAGGGTTTTTTTTCAGATCGTAAACAAGAGACTTCTTTCAAAAATCATTTATTCCCCAAATGTTACCAGTTTTAGAAACTACATTAGCAGTTTTGCTATATAAACTACATTTTAACTAAAATCTCAGATGAAGCTTTATTCATGGACAGGCTGCTTCGAATTTGGCCATGCTGACTGCGTTTAGTCATGCACTATAACAGATTGTGAAACCTCAGAACTGTTTAGCTCTTTGATCAGTTGTAAATTTGACAGTCATCGACCTTTTACAGGAAAAAGATTTGAACGGCTTCTAGATAGTGAATGATATTGTAGTTGTAGATAGAGAGCTGTAACTGCTCTGCTTCTCTTTCTTGCCTTACACCTAAAGATGTCTTCAGACGGCAAGGTAAATCACTACAATCCACACATATTTCTCATGCGCACAGATTCTGTTACATTATGCTCGAGGAGTCATTTCATCATGAGATGCTTTATCAGCTGGGCAGTTGCTTCGTGTGCGAGTGTGTTCAGTGTCTTCGTTGAACAATGTTGCATGGCCACAGTAGAGGAAACTGCTGAAGGAAATGGCCCACACTAAAAATCACTTCAGTTACTGGTTATCAAGGTGATTTTGTGATTATGAGGCAAACTTCCTCTTTTTGAATAATGCACAAGTCATGTACAACATTCAAAGAATGTTAGACTTAGATAAGTAATAAGTATGTTTTAGATATGGTAAATAAAAGGTAATGTGATATAGATTTATTATATTATATTACATTACATTACATTATATTACATTATATTATATTATATTATATTATATTATATTATATTATATTATATTATATGATATTATATTACATTACATTACATTACATTACATTACATTATATTATATTATATTATATTATATTATATTATATTATATTACATTACATTATATTATATTATTATAACATTTTATTATTTATTATAACAATATAATTTTATATTATATTTTATTATATTGTTTTAACCTTCTGTTCATTTTTATAACAATATTGTTTATTTTTAAATATTTTATATTATATTATAACATATATTATTGTAACATTTTATTATAACAATGTTATTTATATTGAATTATATTTTATATTATATTTATTATATTATATTGTTATAAAATGTTATTTATTATGACAATATTTTTATATTATATTATTTTGTAATATATTATTGTAAACTTTATAAAGTTTTATAACAATATTATTTATGTTACATTTTTTATATTATATTATAACATTATATTATTGTAACATTTTATTGTTTATTATAACAATATTTTTTATTTATATTTTTATATTATATTGTTATAACATTTTATTATGATAACAATATTTTTTATTTTTTTATATTATATTATTGTGACCTTTTATTAATTTTTATAACAATATTATTTTTATTTTATATTATAACATATTATATTATTATAACACTGTATTATTTATTATATTATATTATATTATATTATATTATATTATATTATATTATAATACTCATAGTTTAGAATTTATTAAAGATTTAAGGAAAGGTGTTTTTTCAGTTGTGTCTAAACCGGGGGTGCTCAAACGTTTTCACATGAAGAGCCAAAAACCAAATATCATTGAGAGTCGTGGGCCGAAGGTAAATATACCAAACTATATTACATTAAAGTTGTAATAAAACATTACATTTCAGAATAAAAAGAAAACATTACAGCACTATAACTTTTTAAATGATAACTTATTGCAATAAAAATCATAAACAATCACATCGATAACACAGTGGAGTTCAATGTTGAATACATCAAGCAGAATCTGCCTTTGCCTTGATTTGCTCACCAAATTCTCCATTGTTTGGTGACAGTATGATTTATTTACACCGTTTAATTCAAACATTTAATTTCAGTTAACGTTTAACAATAAAACAAACAAAGAATTACATTACATTGGATTTGACAATCTCTAACCCATCACTATCAGTCTCTCTCACCTCAGATGGGATGGCGGGCCAAATCAAAGGTTACCATGGGCCAACTTTGGCCCACGGGCCTTAGTTTGAGCATCTCTGGTCTAAACCTTTTACATTTTGTTTTTCATTCTGCTACTAGCTGTTTCTTAGGCTTTCTGTCCATTTTTAAGTACTCTTTTAAGAAGATAGTTCTCTTTATAATTGTATTTGTAGAAAGTAATTGAAAACGTAAGCAAATAACATTCAGTAAGAATTCAGTTCTTGTAAATAAAACTCTACAGCCGTTACCTAAATGTCAAATAAAGCCATGTTTTGTTTCTTTGGTCAGGCTCACGCACTAGGCAGCGGTCATGCGGTACGTCCCATCAAGCTTTATTGAACTAATACTGGGTGACGAGGACGTAAAAGCCAATACGAGTTTCTCATTTCATAAAAAAATCATTCGTTTTTATGGCCAGCCAAAGTGATTGAAGATAAGTTTTAGAGATGTGTGTTGGCTTTTATGTGAGCCTTATTAAAGGGATAGTTCACCCAAGAATTGACATTTACTCACTCTCAAGACGTTTCAGACCTTTATGGGTTTATTTTTTTCTGTTACATAATAGAAGAATATTGGAAAGCAACAGCTACTGACATACATACTATGAGAAACTGCTAGAACACTGAAAAAATACTATGGAGTAAGTAAAAGGCTACAGATTCTCAACATTTTCTTCAAAATGAAAACTTCAAAATATCTTCTTTTGTGTTAATTGAAAAAGAAACTCGAACAAGTTGATCGTGAGTAAATGATGACAGAATTGTAATTTTTGGGTGAACTGTAACTTTAGATTGGGTTAGAGCTGTTTGTGGGCCGCCGTACAGTGTGTATTGGTTTAGCACAGAGCATGAAGATTTCCATTCATCTATATATGCAAATTCTTCATTCAGCATCATTTGGCATTCCTCATTCCTGAACTCAATGTCTCCATCCAGCGTTGTGTTGTGGGTTTCGTTCTGTCTTGTGATTGGCAGAGGGTGGAACCATGTAGAGTCATGAATCAAGCATGAATGTTGTATTTTCATTCTAAAGGCAAGACACTGCTGGCAAAAAGTTTTTTGTGTATGTGTGTGTCTTTACAGATTTTTTTATGTGTTTAAGGTGGGCATACAACGTTTGAAATTTAAAAAAAAAGTATATAAATGTATTTTTAAATGTATAATTTTAAATGTATTTTAAAAAATTATTTTATGAATTTATTATTATTTTTTATTTTTATATTTTTTTACTTGACATAAATCGACAGATCGACTCATTCAACCACACACACCTCACAAATTCAGGCTGACTATGTTTTTGTACATATTTACAAATCAGGAGCTCATGAGCCTTGTTAAGTTTCTACAAGTTTGTATGCATTTTTTTCAATCAGGAGAAATCACATGAAAATCCTTGATGCTTGTACCGTAGAGAAACTTAGAAGCTGAATGGCTCATGAGCTTTTAATTATTATTTTTTTCCGGGTTTTTCACCTCTATTGGATAGGACAGTAGAGAGTGTCAGGGAAAATTATTTATCATAATTATCATGTCTACAAGCCTTTTTGCACTATATAATGTTCTATATCTGCACAACTCTGTCTTGCACTCATTGCCATATGCCCTTTATGTCATTGTATTTTATTGTTTACAAATTTTTTTCTTTATGTATATTTTTAGACTACATTTTACGTATATTTTTAGATTACATTTTATGTATAATTGTATTTATTGTAAATTCTTCTTAAAACTCAACTTTTTGTATTAATATTATATGATAGGCACCTAGGGTCTGAGAGTAACGTAATTTTGATTCTCTATATGTCCTGTACATTTGGTTGAATTGACAATAAAGCTGACTTTGACTTTGACTGTTGAAAGCTCGGGGAGCAGAGAGAGGGGAAGGATCAGCATAGAACCTCAAAGCGGGAATCGAACTCTTGTCACCGTGAGCACCAGTGTGCATGAATCGACTCACTAATCACTACGCCATTGGCGCCCACACAGAGCTTTTAATATGCCATAATTTTGAATATGGCAAAAAATATTGTTGGTGTATGTGAAACAAGCTGATCTGTCAATGTATGTGACGTTGAATCAGGAGGAGAAACTCACTGAATGAGCGCTGTATGATGTCAAGCACGACAGGGTTGGCAGAGATCATAGTTTACAGTGAACAGGGTTATGATTCACATAATTCACACAAAGGGTGACCAGGCATACTGATTAACTGAGAAATAAAGTCTATTTTTTTGTGTACTAAACATTTACAGGTCATTTCATTTGTTATGGTTATAACAAAGAGACACACAGTTGAAGTCAGAATTATTAGTTATTTTACTCATTTTAAACATAATATTAAAAAAAGTATTTAAATATGTTTACAGTTTTTAATGAATAGAATCAATTAAGGAAGTCTTTAATAACTATTAGCTAAATTTTTAGTGCCTCATTGCCTGCAGTGTCTTGTCCTAAATATGCAGTTTGTGTTTGAGCATTGTGTGTGACCGCGCTGTGTATATTTCAGGAGGAGTTCTGCTTCCCTGTCGAGTGTTTGACTCTGACCGTGGAGGAGGTGATGCACATCAGACAGGTTCTTGTCAAAGCCGAACTGGAGAAGTTCCAGCAGTATAAAGACATTTATAATGCACTGAAGAAAGGAAAGGTACAACATTTATTCATAATTTAATTTGACATGTTCTGCCTATTGTAAATGTACAATTAAGTTTGTTTTTAATTGTGCAAACCTTTTCATTAGCTTTGCTTCTCATGTCGGTCGAAGAAGTTCTCATTATTTACCTGGTCCTACACCTGTCAGTTCTGTAAGAGGTGGGTAGAGCTTTTTCATTAGCTTTTAAGTGAAGAAAAACCAAGTAGTAATTTGCAGTGGGATCATAGTTCTTGTCTTCCCCCCTGACAGGCCGGTTTGCTCACAGTGCTGCAAGAAGGTAAATACAACATCTTTAACTCATTTGCATGAACGTGATTCTGAGTTGAAGGGATAGTTCACACAAAACTGAAAATTCTGTCTTCATTTACTCATCTTCCACTTATTCCAAATCTGTTTGATTTTCTTTTTTTTTTTTAGTTAAACACAGAAGAAGATATTTTGAAATATGTTGGAAACCAGTAGCCATTGACTTACATAGTATTCTTTATTTTTTTCTATATTGGATTTCAATGGTTATCGGTTTTCAGCATTATTCAAATACCTAATTTTGGTTAAACTGAGGTTGAGGGTGAATAAGCAAGGACAGAACATGATATTTTGAACAATGTTGGAAACCTGTAGCCATTGATTTTCATAATATTATTATTTTTTCCTAATATGGAAGTCAATGGTTACTGGTTTTCTTTTTTTTTTTTTTTTTTATATCTGCTTTGTGTACAACAGAAAGTCTCATTAAAAAAAACCTCATATAGATTGAGGGTGAATAAATGTTCTTTTTGGGTGAAATATTTCTTTAATGTACATATAAAATGTTTAAAGTTGGTAAAATTGCTAATGGTTGTTAGTAAGTCTTTTCTGTTTTAATTTATTATAAAATGTAATTTAATTTTGTGATGTAAAATATGAGTTTTCAGCATCATCACGCAAGCCTTTAGTGTCACATGATCTTCAGAAATCATACTAATATTCTGATTTTTTTTCAGTAATCAGTTGTACTGCTCAATATTTGGATTATTTCTGATGAATTGAAAGTCCAAAATTAAAACATTGTAATCAGAAATTATTTGTAACATTCATGTTTAAACACTGTGTCATGTTTGATCAATTTAATGCATTATTTTGTTTAAAATTCCAAATGTTTTCAATTTGATGATAACCTAATGTCTTCCTATCTCAGATGAAATTGCCCTCCAAGCCTCACGCCAGCCTGCCCATCTCCTCTTTGGGTCCCAGTATCCTGCCCAAAAAAGAGCCCGGAGCATCATCAGCCCCGACAGATAAAACCTCCTCCACATCCAGCCACAAGAAAAACAGCCTTCAGCGCTCATTGTCTAGGTGTGTTTTAAAATACTACCAGTTAATATAAACCTGTGTATATATACACTATCCCAGTTGTAAGAGCAACAAATAATAACTTAGCTTCTAGTTGATCATTTGGAAAAGTGGCTGAAGGCAGATTTTTTTCAGTGAATCATCTGTTGAACTGCATCCCAAACATCACAAATACTGCAGAAGACCTATTGGAACCAGCATGGACCCAAGATTCTCACAGAAATCAGTCAAGTTTGGTGAGGGAAAAATCATGGTTTGGGGTTACATTCATTATGGGGGCATAAGAGAGATCTGCAGAGTGGATGGCAACATCAACAGCCTGGGGTATCAAGACATTTGTGCTGCCCATTACATTACAAACCACAGGAGAGGGCAAATTCTTCAGCAGGATAGCGCTCCTCATAGTTCAGCCTCCACATTGAAGTTTCTGAAAGCAAAGAAGGTCAAGGTGTTCCAGGATTGGCCAGCCCAGTCATTAGAAGTGAATGTTATAGAGCATGTCTGAGGTAAGATGAAGGAGGAGGCATTGAAGATGAATCCAAAAAATCTGGATGAACTCGGGGAGTCCTGCAAGAAGGCTTACTTTGGCAATCCAGATGACTTTATTAAGTTATTGGAGTCATTGCAGAGATGTATGGATGCAGTCCTCCTAGCTCATAGGAGTCATTCTCAATATTCATTCTTTTTCCACTGCACCATGACTTTATATTATATATTGTACATTATAGAATATAATAGGCATAAGTATTATATAATAATATAATTGGTAAAAAAAAGCGTAATCTAGAGGCCTTTCATATTAGCCACTTCTGATACCAAATGATCAACTAGAAGTCAAGTTATTATTTGTTGTTCCTAAAACTTGGATAGGCAACAATAAAATCACCTTAAAATTTGGCTAAATGAAGTGCCTGGTAAAAGACATTACTAATGATGTATTGAGTTTTGAAAAAAAAAATAGGAAGTTTACTAAATATGTTCATGGATCATGACAATATCGACCTATTGACCTCATTCTGGAATGCAAAAGTGCGCTCGTTTTTTGCAATTGTTGTAGAACTTCAATTCTGTTGCCTTTAGGTAAAATGACTAGGAATAAAAAACAGCAGAAAAGCTGTCAAACTAAACTTAAAGTATAATAATGTAAGGAAATATCAGTTTATAACATCGCGCGGCATAACAAGCTGCTTTTAACGTCTAAAAATCCATGGAAGTGAATGAGACCTGAAGTCTCAAGCCAAAAGATTCCAATAGCTGCACCTGCACGTTCATAAAGAATAAACTCAACACTGTTAGAAATATACTTGTGCAGTTTAGGATGTTCTCATTTACACTATGCAGTCTGTTTTATAATATAGTTTGCAGTTGCTGTAAATATTATCTGTCGCTGTATAAACTGCTGCGCAAATAGTCACTAGTATGTGGCTCTTGACGTTAGAGGTCTAATGAATCTAAAAGATCTGTCAAAGAAACGGAACATTCACTACAGCATTATTACCTTTAATCCACAGCCTCAGCAAATGCTTCAGCTAAATGGCAAATGTTTACTTTGTTTACTCTCTCTCATGTCATATTAAACGCTTAAGAAATTCATTCCATCTTCTGAACCCAAATCAATGTATTTTTAATCTGATCTGAAATGTTTCTTTTAAAAAGTTTGTAAGATAAAAAAGTTATCAATATGGATTGAGCAATTTTTTTCCGAATCCCATAAAGAGGCTTAACAGATCTACTTTAATCAGAATCAGTTTTATTGCCAATTGTGCTTCACACACACAAGGAATTTGTTTTGGCTACAGAAGCTTCCAGTGCACATAAAGTGACAAGTGACAACACAAAATAAGCTTTTTAATAAATAAGTCTAAGCTTTTATTCACATTTAACATAAAGGGGTAATTCACCAATCATACAGTAGTTCTACCATCATTCACTGTTAAACAGAGAAAGATATACTGAAATATGTTGAGATTTTTTTTCCTACTGTTGATGTCAATGGCTGCTTTTTCCAACATTCTTTAGAATATTTTGCTTCATGTTCATCAGCAGACAGAAATGGGTAGTTTTAGAACATCTTGAATGTGACTAATTAAGGAAATGGTCGTTTTTGGATGAACGATCTTTTTCTTTTGAAATATTTCTTCAAAACATTCAAAAATTAAAATAATAATAATAATAATAATTCCTTACATTTATATAGCGCTTTTCTGGGCACTCAAAGCGCTTTACACACAATGGGGGGAATCGCCTCATCCACCACCAGTGTGCAGCATCCACCTGGATGACGCGACGGCAGCCATTTTGCGCCAGACCGCACACCACACACCAGCTGATTGGTGGAGAGGAGACAGCGATGAAGCCAATTGGAATATGGGGATGGTTAGGAGGCCATGATGGACAAAGGCCAGTGGGCAGATTTGGCCTGGATGCCAATAAATGCCAGTCCTGCGTGGACTGGATAAAAGATAAATCGGTCACACTTTACAATAAGGTTCATTAGTTAATGTTAATTAATGCATTTACTAACATGAACAAACAATAAACAATACATTTACTACTGTATTTATTCATGTTAGTTAACGTTAGTTAATGAAAATACAGTAGTTCATTGTTAGTTAATGTTAACTCATGGTGCATTAACTAATGTTACCAAGCATTGACTTGGATGTTAATAATGCATTTGTAAATGTTCAATTATGATTAATAAATGCTGTACAAGTGTTGTTCATGATTAGTTCATGTTAGTAAATGCATTAACTAATGAACCTTATCGTAAAGTGTTACCGATAAATCCATATAATTTATTCTTGTCTTCTGAAAAGGTGCATTAAACAGATTTAATGAAGGGTTTAAATCACAATTCATAAGACATTAATAAGCCAGCCAGAAATAAAACAGAAGAATTACCCTTGATTTAGCTTGACAAACAAGAACAAAACCCATTCATTTGCTACTAAAAATGTCTGTTTTATTTAATTTCTTTAAGTATCTATTTTACCCTTAAAAAAGGGGGATAAGACTTTATAGTAATTATCTATTGGTTCAGGTAATTTGTAGTATGCACTAACATCAATATTGTACAGCATTTATTAATCATAGTTAAACATTTACTAATGCGAAGGACCAGACAGAATCTGCAGACATTTTTTGCTATTTCTGTACAGAATTTTGTAAAAAAAATAAATAAATCTGCGGATTTATGCAGAAAGATTTAGGAAGTATCATAACTAAAAACTTAATAAATGAAATAAAAAGAATACCTTTTTAGCTTTTATTTAATGTTTACAATGCAAATCCATTTAGATACACTTATTTGGTAAACAAAGCAAGTCTCTTTCATAATTTATCTACTAAAAGACAGAAAATATTACTGCACAAACTGTTTTGTAAATAAATCATATGAACATTTTAATAGTAGTCAATAATATTACTGAAATTCATTAAAAAAAAAACTGAATAAATATAAATTTCCATTTACACAAGTAAATAAATAGACTCAATTAGCTATGTTTATATCCAAAGATGCAAATTATATTTATTTGCAAAACAGTAATAACGCATAAAAGACTAAAATAAAGCAGCGTTTTCAAAGTCAAAGCAAACAAAATCTTCACTTCCTGATTAACCGGCGCCGACTATCAAAAGTAAAAATGACCCCCTGATATACATCATAGTAAAATAATTTTTGGTCCCGATCCCTCTCAGATCATCAAAACACGGCGATCGCTCGTCTTCTAAAGACGAGCTGGAGCTTCCGGAGCAGTTCACCGAGGACTGGAGCACCATGGAGGTCTGCGTGGACTGCAAAAAATTCATCAACGACATCATCAGCAACAGCCGCCGCAACCTGTCCACCAAACGTGCCCGCCTGCACCGCCGGACACACTCCGTCTACTCGTCCAGCACCAGCTCCTCCAACTACAAACCAACCGAGCGCACCATCAAAGAGGTCTAGCGTCCCAAACGTCAAGGAAAAAAGGTGTTTGTTTTTTTCTCTGTTACGTCCGACAGCCCACTTTTAGCTTTGTAAGCATACCTTCCATACCTCTTCTTTTCCTTTTAAAAAGTGCCAGAGGCGAAGGAAGTTAAAAAGCCCGTCCCTCTTCCAGCATGAGTCCTTAAGCACCAGCCTTCTCAGGAAACGGTTTGGAATGTAGTTTCGACTTATTTTAACCAACAAATCTGAATTATTAATGACAAAGTGTGAACAAAAGAAAGCGCAAGGCTGCTTTGAGCACCGAAAGGCCTGAATGTACACTTTTTTCAATGTAGTGAAGTCAAACAGAGCTGGAGTTTGTGTAAATAATCACTAAAGGTTGTAAATATCCATACTTTTTCCCCCTTTTAGTTAAGATTTAGTCGATTGCTTGACCGACCAAGAGACTGTAGATGAATTCAGCCTCCGTGACAATTCAAGATCAAGTCTTACCAAATGTTTTCTCTCTCTCTCTCTCTCTCTTGTCGTTTGTTAAAATTGCTGCTGTATTAGTGATGAACGCCGTTTTAGAGTACTTACAGATATATATTTTTCCTGATGGCAGATTTTAGATGAAGTCAAGGTTGTTTTTTTAAAGAGCGGATGCTGAAAGCTGTGGCGTTTCTTAAAGGAGTTGATCGGCTGTGCCAAACAAATCTCCACAATCCGAGCAATATGTGTCTTGGACCTGATGTACATATTCAAAAAAAGCATTTAGCAGAGACGACACACGAAGAAGGAAAGCAGTTCTCTCTTTTAAAACAGGACTTTTGTATGGATATGTTTGTGTACATGCTGTATATCCAAATCTCATCCGATCCACTTATCTATTAAAAATAGGCTCTATTGTTAAAAAGCTATGATTTCTATTATAAATAATGATCCTTTTATTTTTTTGTTTAGTGTCAAATAGCTTTTTTCAACTTCACTATTCACTTCACTGTTTTTTGTTTTCATTATTATGTCTTAAATTAAGTTATAATATATTATTAATTACCCATTTTGTGCAATGAAATGCTCCGGCATCTCGAATATGAAGGTACTTATGTCAGGGTATCTGGAAGATTGTTTCTGTTTTTACTTAATTAAAAAACAAAACACACACACACACACACACACACACACACACACACACACACACACACACACACACACACACACACACACACACACTGTAGTGGTGTACAGGCCTGTTGACATGCTTTTCTGTTTTGTGCAAAACTGACTGTACTGCCTTTCTCTACAGAATGATTGGTGTGCATGATGAAATAGATTTTTTAAAATAAGAACAGAATTGCCAATAAATAAAGCATTTGAAATTTGAGCGTTTGGTGTCATTAAATGTTACTCAATCTCTGCATTTATAAGAGAGCATATTAAGAGCTTTATAATAAATCAAACATTGATTTAATGAGCTTCAGGATTACACAAAAGTCTAAGTTTCCCCTTAAGAGCCTTTATTAAATCATAACTACACTGTAAAAAGGATATGATCAATTAGTCATGACAACATCTGCTAAGTTTAGATGCAAAACTGAAATATTCCTCTAAAATGAGCATATTCATCAGGCTCCTGTGTGTATGTTCAGTAATGTCACTTTTGTCCTTTTCCTGGTCTGTAATGGGAAATATCTCAGCATAAACAAAGGAGGCAGAGAAAAATGGAAATTTTCGATGGAAATTTCAGACGGGCGAGGTTTTTGCATCTGAACTCTTCATATGTTGTTAGTTCATTCTAACTTACTAAACTAAGTTAATCATGTTCTAACTTATACGCGAGCTGCTTTAAGTCAGTTTAACATGATATAAGTTAGGGCAGGGAGATTAATCGAAAAACAATCGAAATCGTCATTCAGAACTTTTAATTGATCTAATTTTTACAGGTTGATATATATATATATATACAGTTGAAGTCAGAATTATTAGCCCCCCTGAATTATTAGACCGCTTGTTTATTTTTCTACAATTTCTGTTTAACGGAGAGAAGATTTTATTCAACACATTTCTAAACATAATAGTTTTAATAACTCATTTCTAATAATGGATTTATTTTATCTTTGCTATGATGACAGTAAATAATATTTTACTTGATATTTTTCAAGACACTTCTATACAGCTTAAAGTGACATTTAAAGGCTTAACTAGGTTAATTAAGTTAACTAGGCAGGTTAGGGTAATTAGGCAAGTTATTGTATAACAATGGTTTGTTCTGTAGGTTATCGAGAAAAAATATAGCTTAAAGGGACTAATAATTTTGTCCCTAAAATGGTGTTTAAAAAGTTAACTGCTTTTATTCTAGCCAAAATAAAACAAATAAGACTTTTTTCAGAAAAAAAATATTATCAGACATACTGTGAAAATTTCCTTTCTCTGTTAAACATCATTTGGAAAATATTTTAAAAAGAAGAAAAACATTTGAAGGGGGCTAATAGTTCTGACTACAACTGTATATATATATATATATATATATATATATATATATATATATATATATATATATATATATATATATATATATATATATATATAAATAAAATATATATATATATATATATATATATATATATATATATATTTTTTTTTTTTCAATTACTTTCCCTACCGCATGTGGAGTCCCGTGACCCCACTCTGTTAGTCACACTTTGCAGCCACATCTGATCTCTGGTCAAGTAGGATGATGGGCCTATTCTTGAGCCTTTGCACTACCTTGACGATGATTGAAAACTGCGCTGCGATGCGTTGAGACGGCATATTTTCCATTACATTAAAATTATTATTCACATTAAAATGTTATTTACAGGATATACAAGAGTTATTTTATTTATTTCTACTGTTAATATATAACTGAAACACTAAAGGTAATTTATTTTGTTTCCAAAATTGCAGGTTATTTGTTTTCACTTTTTATAAGAAAACTGACTGTTGGTTTTAGGCAATGTGTGTTTTAATTTCAGCTGATCAACGTGTTACATAATCATAGATAGTAGTGTGTGTTTACTATGATTATTTTAAAATCAAGTAATGCACCCTTCATTCAAAAATCTCTCACTTGTAATATTTGAGCATATTTACTGTACAAAACCTGTTAGTGAACTGAGGGCATAAATAAATAAATAAATAAATAAATAAAAAAAATTGTCTTTCATAAATCGTAATCAAGTTAAAATGTTCAAATAATTGAGATTTTGATTTCAGGCCAAATCGTCAAACCTCAATATAAGTTCAGTGGGCTCATAAGTTTAATTTGATTCAGCTTTAAAATTTAAGGCAACCAGGATTTTTGTTTTACAGTGTAGATAGGCTTTTTTGCACTACGTGACAGATTTATCAAGAACTTTTATAAATTCCTAGAACATTAAGAAGTCCGGATCTGTCAGTGTAAGGTGTGCATGAAATATTGTGTCATTGCTTTGAAATGCCTTGTGTAAAGCATATAATGTTTATTATTCCTAGTGTTACATTTTATAATAAAACTAAAATTAAAAGTTCAATTTCCATTGTCTGTGTCAAAGACATTTCTAATTTGACGTAACCTTTTTTGTTTGTTAGTTTTTTTTTTTTTTGCTGAGCTACAAAAAAGCTAACTGAAATGAAGTGTTTCAATTAAATGTTGTAAATAAATCTTTTTTTAATGTGAATAATGTCATTTGACTGATAGAGGACCATGCAGAAGACATTGGTGAGCAAATCAAGGCAAACACTAGTGTAGCTCCATTCTGTTATATAAATGAGTTTGTTTTTGTTTTTTACTGTAATAAGTTCATTATAAAATGTAAAAATGGTTAGTATAAAGCAATGTTTTCTAGTTGTTTTTAAATATTATTAAATAATTTCAGAAATTACCCATGGCAACTATATTTATCTTTGGCCCACTAACCTCAATCAAGTTTGGATTGTGGGCATTATTAAGAAAAGGTTTGGGCACCCCTGGTCTATGCAGTGTTGAGATTTATATAAAGTGCTTTTATAAGTTGAATGTTTAGTCAAGTCATTAACTTACTTATTGAGTAACTCATTAAACATTGTAAATAAAAATGTCATTTAAATACAATTCTAATGATGTAATTAATTACTTTTTTTGAAGTAACTTAACACAGGTAATAAAGAGCAACTGAAATGATTTCTCTCTTTTTTAATGTTTGCTCCATTCAAGTTGAATCGCAATTCTCCACTAGAGGGCAGAAAAGCATCATTTTTACAACCGCTCTCTCTAAAACTTCTTGCATATCCTACATAATTTCGTCTATATCTTAGAGCAAATATATCTATTCTGCTAGGTTACAACACGCACACACACAAAGAAACACACACGATAGTAATTGTTCTATCTGGACTGGTATGTCACAACAAACTGTACAGGACAAAACAAATATTTCTAAAACGTGGCAGAATAATGGCGGACTGCTGAGCAATTTGTTGTGGTAAGTAAAATAGTGTATTTGTCAAATACAGATACATGCATCAAAATGAGCTCTATTGTAATTATTGAAGATATTACTACCTCATTTATCAATGCGGAAGTTATTTATTTTCTGTGTTACGTGTGAGACCTATTCATGAAAAATTACATTTATTTTTCTTTACAATCATAAGCTTGCTTATGATTATTGTAATACATATGATTAGAACTAGTTTGCATTGTCGAGCAGCATTTAGCATTGTTAACCCTGTCAGAAAAACAGCATCGTCATAATCATTCAGGAAGGTTTAAGCTGGTTTAGAAGGGTTTCGACCATTTTAGCCAGTTTTAGCAGATCTCACATGGAATTCAGCTTAAAGGGATAGTGTTCTGTCATTATTTACTCATCATCCACTTGAACCACTCATCAAGAAACTTCCATTGTAGAAAAAAACAAATACTATGACGTCAGTGGTTGCTTGTTTCCAGCTTTCTTTAAAATATCTTCTTCTGTGTTCAGTGGAAGAAAGAAACTCATAAAGGTTTCAAACACATGAGGGTAAGTAAATTGTGAGTAAATTTTAGCTTTCGGGTGAACTATCCCTTTAAAGCAGCTACACTTTCAGTTTTCAAAACCAATGTAAAAAACAGTTTTTGCTGTGTTTCTTCATCTCTTTTTAGGACAAAGCTAAAACAAAAAGTCTGCTCAAAACTTCTGTAAAAAACAGCTTGGCTGCTGTTTTACAACTATAACTGTAAAATAACTGGAAACAAATGACCATTTGTCGCTTCACAGCAAGAAGGTTGCTGGTTTGAATCCTGGCTGGGCCCGTTGGAATGTCTGTGTGAATGTTCTCCCCATGTTTGCGTGGGTTATCTCCGGGTGCTCTGGTTTCCACCACAGTCCAAACACATGCACTATAGGTAATTTGGATAAACTAAATTGGCCATAGTGTATAAGTGCCTGAGTGAATGTAAGAGTGTATGGGTGTTTCCCAGTACTGGGTTGCGGCTGGAAGGTCGTCCGCTGTGTAAAACATGCTGGAATAGTTGGTGGTTCACTCCACTGTGGCGACCCCTGATAAATAAGGGAGTAAGCTGAAGGAGAATGACTAAATGAAATGACCATGAAAGTCGAACACATTGTAGTGACAAATAAACAGTATAAGTTCTGGAAGTGAAAACTCCATTCCTTTTCTCCATAGAAAAGGTTTTTAACCAACTGACAACATTTAGGCTAAGAAAAACTTGTAATCTCCGAGGTTGTCATTTGGTTATCCATGCTTTTGTTTAAAGTAAAACTTTTACCTGTCTCCTACAAGTCCTCACAGTGGAGTTTTATCATTTTTGAAACCATTCAGCCGATCAATGGGTCTGACAGATGTACATTTAGCTTAGCTTAGCATAGATCGTGGCATCAAATAAGACCATTAGACCATCTCACTCAAAATACATATTATTTAAAGTTTAGATCATTTTCCTACGTAAAGCTTGACTATTCTGTAGTTACATCATATACCAATGAAAAATTACAGTTGCTATTTTCTATGTCTTGGAACTATTCCTCCATTCTGGCGTAATAATCAAGGAACTTTGCTGCTGTACCATGGCTGCAGCAGACACACTGATATTACCAGTGCTTACTACCTAGCTGGGATCTATTTTTAGGCGCTGCGTAACATCGTAACCATGGTACTGTAGCAAAATTCATTGATTATTACACCAGAATGGGAGTATACTGTGGTTTCTAGCCATTTCGACAGACATTTTCCATATGCTAAGCCAGTGATGGGCAAACTCACTCCTGAGGGCCGGTGTCCTGCAGAGTTTTGCTTCAGCACTAATCAAACACACCAGAACATGCTAATCAGTGTCTTCAAGATCACTAGAAAGCTTACAAGCAGGTGTGGGATTGAGTCCTCCGA